ACAAACTTGTATTGAAATTTATAATATATAATATACAATAAGTATAGTGTTTAAAATGTACCTAGCTACTTCGTGAGGTTTCCCGTGAAGATCACTGATTTCTAAACACACTCTTAAAATCTTAATAAATATATCATTTTAGATTCTAAGTGGAGCGAAGAAGCTTATGGTTTTACAAAAATGTTGTATTATTATTATTATTTTTTATCTGTGCGCAACTATTCTACCAGCAATTTTGCTCCGATTTACAGTGACGGCATTTTTTCTAAAAATAAATTTGACTGCGGAGGTACCTTAAAGAGGTAATTTTTCGATTTTCCCTGGAGTCTTCTCAAGAAATGTGAAAAACGGGGAAAAAAAACAAGGGAAAATCGGTACAACATTAAACAAATATTATTAAAGAAAATATATAAAGCTTATTTAATTATTCTACCATAATATGACCTGTATATTGTTGACAAAGCATCACTGCTATCTAAACTCCGCTCAGAATCCTTTTTTTTTGTTAACAATGGTTTAACGTTTCTTACAGGTATGCATTAAATTACCTATAACAGTGGCTGCACCTGTCCCTATTATACTAGGACGTCTTTTTTTTTTCTTAAAACTATTTCAATGATATGGTTGCATTTAACTATTTCTAAACCTTCGACAAAAGGTCTTTTAAAATCAACAATACATTGAATTATGTCGGAGATTTCTGTTACAGAATTAAACATTATATACTTTTATTACTAAAAAATTGTAAACGAAATAAGTTTTAATAAGGAATTTTTTAAAAAAAACTAGTTATAAAAAGATTACATTAGCTAAATTACTATTATTCTAAATATTTTAATGCAATTACAGCTTTCATCACCCCGTTAGCCGAATCATTAGTGTCGACCAGAGCGCTGCTTATAGTTCCTTTCAATCGTGAATAGCCGTATTAGAATTAGGTACTTAACGGTCATCGCGAAAATACGAAATAATAAAATACGGCACTATTATACTCACGAATTAAGATATACAGGGTACACAACGAGCACTTATCAATTGTTATGGGAACTTTCTTCGTTCTTGAACTGACAGGTAACGCTTAAAGATGGCATTGCCGAGTTTTGGACTAATAACACGATATTCATTATCAAAAAAATCGTAACATGAAATTCCGAAATTGGGATTTATACAAATTAGATAATAGGTATAATAATTTTATTGTTATTATATTTTTCAATATAGGAAACATGTATAAGTAGTATTCTTATATAAAATAATAAATAATATATGTATTTATATTGTAGGTATTCCTAGTAGATTAATTAGTAACTAATTTTAATAGTTATTTTGCTTTTTAGTTAATGGTTAAAAAAATAGATATGTCGTCTATTCTCATTGTAATATAAGTAGTGGATATATATACTCAACCATATCAATTTTGTGTTAAAAACACGAAAATAGAATCAAATAGTCACCAATGACTTCGAATACATTTTGACTATTAGCATGTTTGGAAAATGACATCTCAATAAATTTGTCTAATAAATATAAAAAAATTGTTTTCAGATTAAATCAAAAAACTTTTAGATTTTTATGTTCATGAAAGATGTCATGGCATAAGAAAACTTTTACCGATCAATTTGCTGTGTCATACAATTGGACTGAAACAAAGGGAAAAAACCTTTAGCATATTTATAACTGTTTAAGATAATCATTAGTAAAATAATGTTATTAATGTTCAGTTGTTTAGATAGCTTTTAAATAATCTATATATATATAAAAATTGAACCGAAAATGTATAACAATTCATCAATTGAGAATGACTGGGTCGATTTGGCTCGAATTGTTTTTAATTGTTCGTAATTGCCAGGAGGTTTTTACGAAAAAATTTTTTGGAAAAACCCTTTTTTTAAAAATTTATTTTGATATTTTGAGTTCCGGAATGTTTTTTCGAATTGAAAAAACTACAGCAAGCTTTAAAATTTTTCATATGATATAATTAATCGTTAAAATGGGGGCCCCCGGCAAACAGCAAAAAAATTGATCAACGTGGAGAAATATGTCGTGTATTGAATATTAGGTATTAATATTATGTTTATTACTATTATTATTATAGTAAAGTTTTCGTGTCGTTTTTATTCCGTTCGATTTTATTTATATACGTAAATACCCTCTCCTTACATAGAACGCAATAGTCGATAGTAGAGATAAAATTTAGGTTTTGTCTATATGAAATTTGATTATTCGATTATTACGACTTCATTTTCCATTTTCCGTTGTTGGCGTTACCAGAAAAACCGTGCGAGTACAATTTTATTTTATTTTACTAATTAACAATCATTTATTTAATACCTGCATTTCTTATAACATGAATGTTTAATTAATCTAATTATTATTAGAAAAAATAAATGCCGATATTGTTTAAATTTTTTGTTGTCATAGTAAAAAAACAAATTAAAAATTATCCATCCATGTATAATATATCTCATGAATAACTTCAACAAATAACCAATGGGTATTGAAATAGAGGACATTTGGATATCTTTTAGATATCCACTGGAAGTCATAAATATTTAATAATGAATACTATGGATATCTGAAAATTACATCCACAGTAAAACCACTAGATATATAAGTGGTGTGTGGGTATCAATATCCCATCGACCATTTTCTATCATAGTTTCCTTATAAGCTTTTAATTTTGAAGTTTTTTTCTCTCTTATTTCTAAATACAGTAAAACCCCTTGTAGCCGCTATTAGTTTAATAACTATTAGCGTTCTATGTCTATTCGATAAATAAAAGCGCGTAGCCTGTACGGCCAGACTGAAGACGGCCCGTTCGGATTATCTGATTTTGATAACGACATGCGGCCAAATGTTTGACTGTTGGAAGTGTAATGATACATACATTATGGTATATATCATAATATTAATATTGGTCAACTAGCTATATCACAATAAAATATTATATAACATTAGTATTATCTGCAGTACATTTTATTATAATGGATATCACTTTATTTTTATCAGTGTGTAAGTCAATTTAGATAAATACAAAATAGCATGTGTAACAGTCAAATATTTCAACACAATAATAAGACACGATAAGGAGAACCGGACAACAGCACTCGACTATTCCTCCCTTTCTTTCTCATAAAAGACAACTCGGCTCATTCGGCCACCGGATCCTGCCTTGGCGACTCGTCATCTTAGTCGTCTTCCCGCGAGTGCGTGTTGTTCCGGCGTCTAACATTCTGACATCATCAATCGAGTGTTTATTTTATCATTCCTACTACCTATTCTCATCAACATAATAAATAAACGCAATTATACCTGTGTTCAAAATCAACATTGTTGACCGTATTCCGTTCAGGATAGGCAAAAATATTATTGTTACACGTCATAGTTTATATTTTACATTAATTGTTTCCTACCGTTGTAGGCTGTAATAAGTAATCTAAGTGGTTAGTGGGTGTACATTCAGTTGCTTTGTACCCCGTTGTTCACTTTATTACAAAGTGGCGCTCGAACCCACGACCCCGAGATTAAGAGTCTCGTGCTCTACCGACTGAGCTGGCCGGGCAACGCAAAAACCGCCATCAGCGATTTATCAATTATCACACATTCGCCTGTAAGTGTACTCGTAGACGGTAAATAGGGCCATTTGGCCTACAGGGATTTGGTTGCTTGTCGGCAATTCGGGATGGTCGATAAATATGGCCGTGGATCTTAATAGTTTAATATCAATATCCAAGGAGAATAATTTTATTTTCGAAAAAACTATGCTATTATCAAAGAATTTATTACCTTATCGGCGACGATTCTGCTCGACGGGATGGCCGATTTGGCGACGGCTACGATGCACACAATAGCCGTCCAGGTAACGCGTGCGGCGAAATACGTGACCGGTACCATATTGGCTGTGGATCGGCCGTTTAGGCAACGCACCATAGAAAACGTCGGAATCAATAGTTTTCTGATAACGGAGTCTCGTGTATCCAGTACACGTTCTTAATTCGTGGTTATACTTCAAGAGAGATCGGCGGACAGTAACGATTAAATCGTAAAATTTAAAAAAAAAAATGTTTTGTATAGATTGGCAACGTTGAAATATCGTGACCGGCCTCTTATCGGTTTTCTGAAAACTAGATAGATCTTAAATCGTGCAAGAGACACAGACGGTAACTTACCTTTTTTAATGTTATGATAAAAATATGTTTATATTAAATGCACGGATAATAACATTTATTATCTAAGTGAGTGACACTTGTTTGAAAAATTATAAGAAAGATTTTCTAACTAAATACGGTTCTGATAAATTATTTTTCGACAAATCTATTTTCTTATACAATATTTTCGGACAAAAACTTTTCCAATAAAATATTTGTCTAGCATTATATTTTGGTATAAATGTTTTTTTGACTAAAATACTTTTCTAGTCAAATATTTTTCTGCTCGAATAATTTTCATAAACATATTTTCTGCCGAATTATTTTCCAACGTAATATTTTCGAATAAAATATAAGTCACCACATATGGAGTTGTGTGCTTTTTGGGTCTAGGATATTTCGCCGAAACAATTTGTCCGACGGACTTTTTTTTCTTAATAGAAATTATTACATTTTTTAAAAAAAGAGATGAAACTGGGTACAGGTGCAGCCACCGTTATTGGTGGGAAATTGGGATTTTGCTAATGTATGACACATAAAGCTATTTAATTTAAATTGGTACGCCACGATAAACCGTTGCCTACGTAAAACGATTCGGAGTAAAATTCAGTAAGACAAATTTTAAAATGCTGTTATTTGATCTTAAATCGCCTATCAAAAAAATATTAAAGTATTCCACTAAAATTACCGTTTTTCGGCAACTAAGTACAACTTAAAATTATTCTTGTGTTAAACCAAACCGTTTTATCCACGTATACCTACCAAATAGAAAAGATAAAAAATGTCGTTATTTTTACGATTTCCGTCAAACCAAAGTTTGATATTTAAACGCTTATAAAAATAATACATTAATACATTACACACAATTTATTTATGTTTTACCATTAACTAAAACGTATAATAAGTTACAACACGATATTAGTTAACTTATATTTGTGTTCAATTTTCAAATATTTTAGATTGGTCAAAAAAATATATTCACATAAAACCCGACGAACAATACCGAGAAATACGATTTTTCTAATAGGTGCTATTTTATCTTTAAACAGTTATAAAAGAAAACACTAATAAATTAAAACTCAATATACCTTTTTTGACCACTAAGTACAACTTATAATAAACCTTGTCCTTAAAAGAAATTCTGTTTAGGAATAGTAAAGGTTTTTATCTCCATTAATAAGTACTATGAATATCAAAATTTCATACCCCACCACGCTCATCAATGCACTAAATCTATTATCGGAGGAAAACTGGTACACTTCAATAAATTGGAAATTTCAAGTTTGTTGATTGTCGTTATGAGGCTGTTGCCTTAAAATACCTATTTGTTTTTCCAACATTTCTCGCGTTTGACTGTGGCTAATTTCGTGAGTTGTAGAAATTGCGGTCTGAGGATCGATAACTACCTATCTAAAATAATGTTTGGAATTTTTTTTTGTAAATTTCATGTTTTCATCTAGTTTGTGGTGTTAACTTATGCAAAATCCGAAAATATAAAATTTTTCAAATTACAGTTTTTCGTAATATACTAATACCCAGTGGCGGCTCGAGATGGTGCACAAATTAATAATTAACAAGAAATGACTATGATGTTAATGTTTATCGTTTTAACTGTAGTTTTTTAGTTTATCTATTACAAACTAATCTTTTCTCTTTATTAGTTTCAATGACAATACAAATAAACAATTGTGTTAAAGTCTAATTAGATAACTTAATCTCCAAAATATAACATACCTTTTTTTTGTTGCACTTTGGATCCAATTGTTGAGTATAAAAGTCATTTTTTTTAGATTTTCGTTCAGTTTTCTTAATGATTGAGCAAAACCAAGCAAAACTTAGAAATAACAATTTTATTATTTTAAATTTTGTTGTTTTGTTATAATTCAGTTAAAAATATTTATAGAAATTTGAAATTTTTATTATTCTTTTCTAGACGTAGTAATATGTTGAGAATATTTTAGAACTATTAAATACAATTTATACATAAGTTGTTTATCTTATGTAACATTTATAGATTTTTTTGTTAGGTAAGTTGGTAGGTACTATATGGATAATTACCTAACCTAATCAAATAGAAATGCTTAAAAAATTAACACAATATTCATTATAAGTTGTATCTAGTGATAAAAAAAAGTTGAGCCTAATGTAATAAGTTTTTTATAATCGTTCGATTGTATCAAATGATCAAATTTTAATGAATGTCATAAATATTACAGCCTTACTATCTAACCAAACTATACTTACAATTTATGGGGATGAATTATTTAATTTTTACATAATATAGTATTAATTTTAATAATAGAAAAACTCAAATTAGTTTTGCAAATAATACAATTTATTATAATGGTATGTTTTTGATCAATTAACTCGAGTGAACAACATTATTTTTAATACTAATTCTTGACTGTTTTCTCGGCAGTTTATCACACACATATTTTGATCATTTGGTTTATTACATACCTTTGATAGTAAGTATTGTTTTGAGTTTCTGCAATGATGTGATAAAGATTCCGAAAACTAAGTAGTGAGTAGTTTAGTTTATGTAATAAATTGGAAGACTTTTGTTTATTATTAAATAAATTGGTAAATTTGCTGTGTTAAATACATCTTTGGAAATAAAGTCAAAGACACCTAGTTAATATAAGTAACCCCAATAATAAGGGTAACAAAAAATAACATAAATATACAATTGTAGAGTAGCTTGTTTCTTAAATGTTCTAATGTTCTAGAAAACAAATTCTGAAAAACATTAATACTTTCTGAGATAATGAGGGTATCCACTTAAATGGATTACTTGATATCATCAGCATCAATATATATATATATATATATATAATTTAACTGTCTATTTTCAAATTAAGTAAACAATTTACATCAATAATAAAAATAATTGTACCCAAAATGATTAACTCCGTGGTTTGTTATTAGAATTGTTCTTACTTATCTTTAAAATTTATCTTCTCCCAAATCCCTTTTTGATTCCTTTTTAATGGCCATGTTAGTTGTAAAATGTTCCAACAGACAATAGTTATGATTCATAATTATTAATATAATCTAATTCTTTTTTCACTTGGAATTCATCCTTCACCTTGATATTTTCCGGAATGGGCTCTTGTCCATTACTTTTGAAAAACATATCCACCTTTAACAACTCACTCTGGTCCAATTCTACTTTCTCCTTCAAATCTGTATCGTAAACATTCTCCAAAAAGGAGAGAACTTTTCTCCTGTGTAGTATAATGTTTTTTCTCATTTGCTTTTTATCCTCTTCGGTCAAAACACAAGGAGATGATATTTGTCCTAAAAAAAAAAAAGTACCGTAAATTAAAATATTGTTTAAGAGTTCAACATTTATGTCGCACTATTATGTCAATTAAAAGAAAATAGGTAGACCACTATTGTAAGCATAAAAAAATAGTAGGATATACATTGATAAATTTAAATGTAACACTAATAATATCACAAAGTATTGACTTTTAAAAAAAATATATTTTTACAATTTAAGCTCAAAAATTTTACATTTTCATTATTTTTTGTCATCCTTATTTTTGAGCATGAAACGACCATATACTTATGATTTCAAAATGAAAGTATAATAATTAATTAATATAATAATAAATAATGGTCTGATTTGCCTATAATTATTTTGATATTTTTAGTTTTGTAATAGTTTTTATATTTTAAAGATAACACATATACTTATATATCATAATTAATGAAACAAAATAAACTAATACACACTTTGTTATTAACTAAAACAATAATCTTACGTATAATTGTAGCTTTTGGTTTTTTTAAACTAAAATTATATTTCTTCATAAAATTCATCATCCAATCTTTACCAGCCAATTTGGTAATATTACTGAAGCGGTGTGGAATATTATTATTAACTGCAAAGTCATATATTAATTTTTGGTATTCAACTTTTTTGAGACCAACTTGTGATTGACGGTCAATTTCAGTAAGGTAGACTTTAAGTTGTAATAGTTGTTCATGGGAAAATATATTTTTAAATCTGCCACCATTAACTGGATAATCCTATTTAGTAAATAAAAAACTCTATATAGATATAAATTATATCAAAAGTTTAGCAAACAATACAAATTATAGGTGACACAATGTACTTGGTAAACACATTGTAATATTAAAATAGAACGTGAAATATAAATTTAAGTAGGTATTAATAGAGAAATACAATATATCACATACCTAATGTAATCGTACAAAATATTATAAATTAAATAAATAAATATAACTACCAAATAAGCAAATTTGATTACTAATTAATTTATCATAATGCCCACTAGGTATTTTTGTTGGCACATTTTGCAGGCACAGAATGAAAATTATTAACGCTGTTAAAAGTGACAAATCTATACAAATTTAAAACTACTTACTTCTACTTTTCGTTTCAAATAACGCCTCAATGTAGCTACAGGGATACCATATTCTTTTTCTAAAACTATGCAAGATTTTTTATTTATATTATGATCATTAATTGCATTTTTTATATCCTGAATCGTCCACTTTTTGCACCTCTTTCTTTGATAATTTCTTGGCATAATTGTCCTAAAATATAGAAAAAGTTATTTGTACGCATTATTTTTATTATCATTATATACATATTTATGATGATCAGGCACTGGTAACCTGTGGCCCACATAACTTTTTTCTGTGGCCCTCTAAATATATATCATAGTATTTAAAATTTTAATTCTATATCTTAAATTGTAATAATTAAAGGTATTAATTTTATGCTTTTGAATTGTGACTATTATACCTTTACTAATATAAGCTATCAGCTTATCTCATATTATTCTCAAGTTTCTAAACAAAATACGAGTATAATCTATATGACCATAGTATAAATAGAATATACATTAGATACAATTAGATTACGACAAATAGGTATCAGGTATGGTTTAAGTATAGTTTGTTTTGAAACATACCAACACGCAGACATTGTATAACAATCTTAAAGTTAAAATTTAAACCACTCGAAGTGTTTTATAATTATCAATACAGTGTAAAAAGCAAAACCGTTAAATTTGTGATGAACGTCATAGATTCAATGAATCATGAACGGATTTGTTTTTTTATTGAAAATATAAGAAAACTATAATGTTTAATTTACCAAAAAAAAAAAAATACATATGTAAAAGAATATAATGTTAAAAGTCACTAAAAAATATAGCAAAAATTAAAAAATAACAGTCTTACTGATGGTCTTAGCCAAACTGAAATAAATAATTAAAAAAGTTAATTAAATAATCAACAAAATAATTTTAAATTACATAATCAAAACAAATTAGGAGTACATTCTAGTTTTATAGTTGCTGAAAGGATAGCCAAGGATTAACCTTTGTAGATGAAATATGCCCAGAGAAAAAAATTTTTTTTAAATATAATGGAAAACTTTAAAAAGAATTTTTGAAACAATTTTATTACTTTCTAAATACAAGAAAAAAAAATCAAATCATCAATAACCCTTTTTCTGTTAACATTGAGTATTGACGATGTTGAATCTAATTTACAGATGGAAGTCATTGAATTGCAAAACAACAATGTTCTTAAAACTACTTTTAAAGACAATAATAAATTTAAAATATTTTATTTAAATCTTCAAAATGGATTTTAAAGGTATTAAAAGTTTTGCTAAAAAAATTATTATTACTTTTGGTAGCACTTATATCTATGAGCAGATATTTTCGCTAGTTAAATATTGTTTTTTCTATTAAGCGACAAGCACCTGAATGTAGTTTTAAGAATATCAATAACCTATATGAAAGCGAATATAAACGAATTAGCAGGGAAATATTCAATATAAAAAATCCCACCAGAAACTAAATATTTATATTCTTTTTTCACTCAAGAATTAATTTTGTTTATTCAACGCAATTATAATAAAGGTAATAATATTTTTTTTCTCTACTAATGTTATTTAATCAAAATCGGATAGTAAGGACGGCCAAGCAAAGGAACTCATAATATAATTGTTGATATCCATACATATACTAGAATTAGATGTTAAAATTGTATTTTTAAAACGTTTATTTTAATTTTGTAAGCGACCTTAAATAAAAGGCTGATGAAAAATATGGTCCACGCAAGTAAAAATGTTGCCGGCCCCTGTATTAGGTCAATAAATTGTAGGGTTAAACAAATATTACGCCAAGTATATAGTAATGAATATAAGATAACATCAACCTTGTTTATGCCAACTTACCCGTAGGTCAGTAAGCTCAGTATATACATTATATAATTTGATAACAGAGTTAAATAATTGATTTACCGCAGTAGTAAATTGTAAATTAACCAACAAGACATTTATTTCCAGGATCGGATAATCACAATTCACAATACAATTTTGTTTGTTTTAATCAACTATTATTATCATGACATTTATAGACCGCCCATTATTGTTTTGATAGTCGTATACCACGGTTATGTTAACTACACGGTAGAAACCATAAACCTATAAAAAAATACCTAATATAATAAATGATAAAAACCCTAGAAATGGTAGACACGGTTGATAATTTGGCGGGTTACACCGAGACACGAGGTTTATGATAAGGTAATAAAGAAACGTTTATTTACAACATAGACATAATACCAGTGATCGCCAGCGTCTGCTGGCTTTTGACGGAGAAAAGGCGACCACGCAACAATTAAAACAACATTAGTTAAGAAAAACAATTATACATAATAATTATTCGGAGTCGGAAACAATGCTTCGCGTACGGCGTTGGTGCGATGAGAGAGCGGAGCGGTGGTGACGTCGAGACGAGCGGAGCTGTGGACGATGACCGCTAAACGCCGACGGCGAGGGGCGTGGCCGACGTACGCCGCGCAGCGGGAAGAAGAGATGTGGCGCGAAAACCCGCCACAATAACATAGATATACGAGAGATACGAACTATGAAAAGTTATAGTTAAAGTAGACTTTTTCAATAAGGTCATGTTATTAATCCACCTTGGTAATATTCAATTGTTCAATACTCCTTGGTAATAATTTAGATATAACATTGATAGCTGATAACATCATATCGTCAACAATTGACATTTGAAAACTAATAATGAAAATACCACAGATCACGAATTAACATGTATAGTTAGGACCAAATGCACAAACTTATACATCCAGATGTAACATTCATTCCGAGGACTGGGAGACGTGGTCGGTCGAACTGAAATGAAGGTTGAAATAAAGTTTAGTGTGGGAGAGAACAAATTTCATTTCGAGGACAGCCAATTAAAACATTTCGTTTATTATCTCACGGGTTTCTGTCCTCGAAACTCCACCCACTGGAACGTGTTTTCTTGCTGAATATTCCGTCTAGATCACGATTAAAAATCTTTGGTCGTGGTCTAGATGTATAAGCACGGCTATAAATATAAAGATTTGTATGAATATTTATTCTTAAAGGACATCACAACACTGATTTTTTTTTTTTGAAGTTCAAAAAATGATTATTTAACGAAAAAATGACAGTTGATGAATAGCCGCGTGACGTCATAAAGCCGACGACTAAGCAACCGCCAATGTTTTACGTATACAAATAGTATGATTTACACAATGGTTTTAATAACTTGAAATAATATTTCGGAATTTTTTTTTCATAATCCCAAGTATATTTACATGCTTAAAACGATGATGTAGTTTAAAATTTAATATATCTTGTTGTTGCATACGTATTATAAATTATAATTTAGTAAAATTATTGAGTTCGCGACTCGCGTCGTATTGCTGCGCGGCATATCGCAGTGGCACAGACCAAATTTTACGAAATTAACTCTAATAGTTTTATCTATTAGACTATTATTAACTATTAAAAAACTGGAAAGGATATCAAAATTATAATCACACCAGTGTCATAAACATAAAAAAACACTTAAGGTTACATCAATAAAATTTAATAATATTATCTTCAACGATTGAAATCGTTGTGTTAATCTAGACATTTTTGCACGTAAAACATACGCCGCCATTCTGACTTCAGCTTTATGACGTCACACGTATATTTTCAAATGCCTGTATCTCATTGAATAATTAGTGTTTAAGTGTGAGACCCACATCATAATTTTTAGATAATGACATATTTTAGATCTAAGCAAACTTGTTTTTAGTGTTGTGATGTCCTTTCAATTAAATAGCTTTTAGTGTTTTTTACCTCCATACCAGTGAAATATATATTATTCACTCATAGAAAATCATTTTAAATATTAATTATAATTTATATATAAATTAAATCCTTAGGTGTAATGATTTTATTATATGGCAACATTATTGAGAGAGTTATGATCACTACCTACAATAAAACCTTATGGAAGTTATTATAGTGCACTATACCTACATAGTAGAAACTGTAATATTATTAGGATTGTATGATGACAAATCAATGTTCTTGATGTCTACTGTAGTAATGTCCATTGTCCATATTAATAGCTTAAGATTTTTTTTTTAAAACATTGTATTAAACCATAACTTTACATACAATTGAACTTCGCTTCCAATTTATATTACATTATGTAAATACCTATTAGTTGAATAATAAATGCCTTTTGAAAGATACTAAATTGTAACCGTTATTTATACAATTATATACCAATATTTTTCTTTTCAGATTTTTTTGCATAGCAAGTCCAACGTTTGTTATTCGCTTACTTCATCGATGAAGTAAGTGATTTTTAAACTAGTTTTATGATATAATAGTAGTTACTATATAACTAGAGATATCATTCGTCTTCATAGATGTAACCTAAGTATTAATGAAGTATTTATTTGTACTCCCACAATGATGTATGACTTTCTGGATGTCAGTTATGGACTCAAAATGCGTTCCTTTCACGGCCAATTTTGTTTGAGGGAACAAAAAGAAGTCGCAGGGTGACATATCCGGCGAATAGGGCGCTTGTGGCAACACTGCGATGTTCTTAGAGGTTAAAAATCGCGACACACTGAAGGCACGATGGCATGGAGCATTGTCATGACGAAGGTACCATCTTTGCACACAGCTTTTTCATGGACAAATCATCAGTTAAAATTTTTCTGACGGTTTCTCGTTTCGAATTAAGTTCATCAGCCAATATTCGAACGGTTGAACGCCGATCTTGATGCACGAGAGTGCGCACACGCTGAACATTGTTGTCAGTTCGAGCTTCAACCGGTCTCCCACTTCGCGGTTCATCCCCGACGCTTTCACGACCATTTTTAAAATTTGTATGCCATCGAAACACCTGAGCACGACTCAGGGCTTNATCACCGAACACTTTCACCAATTTATCGTACGTTTCCATAACGGAATCGCCGAGTTTAACGCAAAATTTAATCGCGTACCGCTGATATTTGTGACACGTCTTACAAACCCGTTGTCGAAAACATAACACAACTGGAAAACTAATTATTGTACGAAAATCGCGAGCACATGTATCGATAGAGGAGGGATGAGAGATTAACCGAAGTTTCAGATTCGCAGTGTTACCACAAGCGTAGCAAAAAAAAACAGTCTCATTACTTATTGGTCAGACCTCGTATTATTACATTATTATTATGGTATCTACTTACTAAACTTTGTTGATACTGTGCTATAAAATGTAAATTACGGCTGTTAAGATTGAGCATCATAATTATGCATTGTTTTTAATTAGTTCAATAAATTTACTGATTTTATTGAACTGACATTACTAAGTAAATATGGCATTGCTAACTATTAAAGAAATTACTTATATCGTTATTAAAAGTAATAGTTTATAATGTTTGTTTAAATGGGATAGATATATATAATGGGTAAAGAATATGAAATTATGTGCTAACCTTGGAATTATCAAACCATGAATGCTATGCTATCAATTAGAGAACTATTTATTTTTGTTATAATTCTACCATTCAAATTCCATAATAAATTATATAATATCGATAGGTGGCATAATAGGTAGGTACCATAATATATTAATGATCAATAATTGATAAATTAATTATGGTGAACCCCGTGCGTTAAAATTAAATTTTCAAAAAATGTTTAATGGCCAAAACTACAATATCTTAATAATTTTAAATGACTATAAATAACTAAAATAACGCCAGAATGTATTCTAGAAAGGGCTAATACAAGTAATTGGTGAACATATTTATTCATACATTTGTATATACATTAATTCTTGAACAATACGTACTTATAAATATTTTTGAATTTAGAGATTTATAAGTACTTCTAAGGTAAATAAGGCAAGTACTCTGTTAAATTTGATAATATTTTATTAGAATCCTCAAAAAACAAATATCATTTTTGTACAGAAACGATTTTTAATTTGGATCATTTTGTTTGCTTTGAAATTTTAGATTTTAAATTTTAATTTAATTTAAAAATTCAAAAACAAAATAGTAAAAAAAAAAAAAAAATTTAACAGTAACAATATCATACAACACAGGTACGGGGGCCGGAAAAGACATTAGCGGTATACTTCATAAGAGCGCGATCTTTTCGCGGCGGCCGTGGTATTCCGGATCGCGATGTTCGGCGGCGGACGAGTTCTCGTGGTCCGTTTGATCACGTCACGCCACTTGAAATGAAAAATGCCTACGGTCGTGGCCGTTGGCCGTTGGGCGGACGGATCCGAGACGGCCTGGACAACGGCTACGGGTCCTGCACTTTTCGCGGTGCCCGGTGCTGCAACTGCGCATATTAACAAAGACACGGTCTCGCATGAAATAAACACGAGCGACAAACGTTCTATGAACGTCCGATATAGTTACCGTTTGAAAAGTCGAAAGTGATCGTTACCGCGGTAAAACTGATCTTAAAGGTCATTCTATGATATACATAAAAAAAAAAAAAAACCAAAGAATTGATACTGGGGACGGGTGCAGCCACTGTTGTAAGTGAGAAATTGGGAAGGTGGGACGCATAGAGGGGAATTTAATTAAAATCTGTACGCGACGATTAATCATTGCTAACGAAAAATGATTCTGGGTGAGGTTCGGTCAATATAGGTAATAATTACAATATCAATGATGTACGTTTTCCCGACGACAACGATTGTTTAAAACAGATTAAAAGATTATATAAATACAAATTTAATAATAACAAAAACAGTTGCCAATGGCTACCTTATTTTTGATCATTTTTTAACCTAAAGAATTAGTTTTACCTCAATTATCTCGAACATTAATGAAAATTTCAAAAAATAGCTTAAAAAAAATGTACCAACTATAGAGCCGAGACGTAACGAAAATAGGTCTCTCGTCGTGTTTTGATTGAAGCAAGATTTCTGGAAGAAAAGTCGTTTACAGATGACAGTGAAAAAAACACATCGTAGTAAAACCAATAGATTTCTCGCTTCACTCAGAATCCAAATAATGTTAATCGTTTGATCCGTTTCAATCGTTAATAATATTATTATCGTAATATGGAGAATTAAATGATGAAAACAAAAAAAAAACTAGCAACAACCGATGTCAATCTCGTTGTGGTTACAACAACCGAGTTACCTATGATATCGAACAAACACGAGCAAAATATGTCGTTTTTCGGCGTCGGCAATAAGTTTCCCTAAAACGTTCGCAACGCCATTTCACCATGATAAACGCACGCGTTTAATTATCGCGTTCGAAACGTACGCGAATTCGATGTGCCTTACCGGTAATCGGTGTGTCGTCGGCCCGCGTTCCGCCGCTTCGTTCCGACGCAACGTCGACGCGTCGCGCCGCCCGTTCGCCCGCGTCTTTTATGTCCGCGCACCGGCGTTCGTGATTCTCGTCGGCGTCCGAGTCCGGCTGCGACGGGTTGGCCAGTTCGGGAAAGAACTCGTTGCCCGGCGTATACTCGTAGTCCTCGTCGACGGCGGCGGCGGCGGCGCACACGGCCACGAACCAGGCCGCCGCAAACAAGTCGGCCGTCCAGCGGCGCATCGCGATCATAAAACTGAATTGATAACGCGATGACTCCTCACGTTGCGGTTTTTTCGACGTATCCGTGTTATTTGTTTTCCGTCCGTTTCTCCGTTACCTAACACCGTACGCACGCGCCCGTGAATTGCGATTATTATTTTTACCGGGAAGAGTTTATTATGATGACGTATTGATTTCGTTTATACGAAATGTTCAAGTAGATTCCAACTTGGAAAAAAACAAAATCAATCTGCTGTTTAGAAAGATTCGTATAAATTGTAATTATTCGCGCCTCGGTCAGTGTCGTCTTTAGGGTTTAACATTACCGGGGGGGGGGGGAGGAGGATCATGAACGTAGCGCAATTATTTAGTTACATATTTAAAAAAAAAAAATTATAATTAAGTAAAATTTAAAATTCAACAGATTTGCGTATATTTTTCATCTGTAGGTATTGGATAGTAAACTTATAACTAATACTTATTTCGTTTTCTTAGAACAGATACAACAATCAGCACGTTCGAAATTTTTGTTCAGATTTTTATTTTTATTCACATAGTTTGGTAAAATAAACTGCATGGAAAAATATTTTTCATTTTTGTACACAATGTATTCTATATGTATACATTTTGTATCACGGTTGCTTACGTCTTAGCCCGTGGCATTTGTTTAAAAAAATCATTTATCATTTTCGAATAATTGCTCCCTACCACTATAACCAAATTTAAAAAACCCGGAGTCCTAAATAGTATTTATCCATATAGTATCTACCAAATGAAAATGACGCAAAAAAAAAAAAAAAACTCGTAAAATTAAAATGTCTACAAATAGGTAGTTTAAAAATGATACAAATATTTTCGAAATTTTACCAGGTTTATAAAAAGCAAATAATTTATTGACCTCTATTTAATAATAATATTTTCTTCTCTAAATCTTTATATAGCCAATCAATTAATTTAAGTCAAATCATTGTTATAATTTTATAAATGTTTCTCATATATACCAGGCTAGCCAATCAACATTATTCATTGTAGCTAATTAAAACAATAATGAGATGTTTTCTTAACAGTTGTTACATATTATAAATTAATGTTATGAGTAAAGAGAGTTAAAGCATTTAATAATAAATTGGTTCTTTTATTTTCTGATTTTATGTATAAATAATGAACTGTCCAGAATTCTATATTGAACACTATACATTATAAATTATTAAACAAAATATTCGGTACTACATAGCACAATAATATAAAATATCAGGGGAAATGTAATAATTTTAAATAAACATAAATAATTATTAAATAACAATCAAATTTCAATTTTTTTTTCAAAGGGTTCTCTATCTATTTAGGTATAAAAGATATCTAGAGATAATCATCATTATTATTGATTTACCTATTAGATCCTAATGAAAAAAAAAATTAACAAAACTTATAGGGTATTTTTTCTAACTATCATTTTGTACAAAATAGAAAAAAACAAAGTTAACACTTAAGGAAATAATAAAGTAAATACAATACTTAAAATGTAATAATAATAATAATAATAATAATAATAATAATTATAATAATAATAATAATAATAATAATAATAATAATAATAATAATAATAATAATAATAATAATAAAAAATATTTATGCATTCGAAAGATCTTTTTTGTGGGGACTTACATGGGAACATTAATAATAAAGTTATACATTTTTTTTTTTAATAGTATTCACAAAATAGTATTGAAAACTGTCAAAAATGCTGTTACTCACGGTGATCTTTTCTTTCTAAATAATCAAAGAATCAATTTAGCAAAAATAATGACCCTTTTTTGAAGTATTGACCATGATTATCAGTTTTAAAACAGGCCTCAAATATTTTAAACAATTGATCTTAATTATTTATTAATAATGTTTATATTACATACAATTTTTAATAAAAAAATGTTTTAATAGTAGATTCTGTTTAGTTTAATATTTATATAATACGCTATGCATGTATTAATGTTTACAGACTAAGTCATAATAGTCATATAATATTAGATTGGAAAAATAATTATCACAAAAAAATGTTCAATAAACGCTAGATAAACATCTGAAGTTTTTCTTCTACATCTAATGAACACCAAAACGATGAAATTCTCATTTTGCATTATTCACTAGTATATAACTTCGTAAACAGTTGCTTTCTTATCTCCAGAACCAGTAACAATATATTTGTCATCGGCTGATATGTCACAGCTCAATACTGAAGAAGATTCTTTAGACTAATAAAAAACAAAGAAACATAAAAATAATGTCAAATAACAAACAATGAGAATAATGAAAATGCCATTTACTTGGAATATAGAAGCACCATATGGTGTACGCCATGCATTTAGCAAATTGTCTTTGCCAGTGGACACAAACCATTTGCCACATGTTGCAAAGCGAAGTGACAACACACATGATTCATGTAGGTGCAATTGGTATTTGTCCGGTTTCAAGGCGTGTAATACTTCGACATTGGAGTTTTCCATACCAACAGCCAACCATTCACCAGTCGGACAATAGCCCAAGGAGAATATCTATAATAAACAGACAATGTTATTAATTTTAATATTGACAAAAAAGCTAAAAATCATGATGAAAATTTGATATTGGTTAAAAAGGTACCTGAGACGAGAAATCGTGCTGTTGTAATTGTCGGCCTTCCCTCAGATCCCAAGAGCGTACTGTATTGTCCAGACCACCTGTCCACAGTTTTGAACCGTCAGAAGAAATGTCTATGCATGATGCACCGTCCGTGTGCCCTTGGAACTGTCTCACTAACGTCTGGTTGTGCAAATCCCATACGGCTATGTTGCCATCTGAACAACAGCTAAAGCACACCTGCACATAAAACAAAAGAATGCACATTATATAATATACTTTGTTCATGGTTATTACAAATGATAAAACAAACACATACCTTAGAATCAGGGCTAATGGCTAACGCGTAACATGCTGGCGCACTGGACGTCAACTCGGCTTTTATTCTTGGCGTGGGAGAGGCCAGGTCCCATATGCTCAAATTACTCGCTTCCCCGCCAACAATGAGCGTCCGGCCGTCAGGCAAAAGTTTTACAGATCTTATATAGTTATCACGTTGCTGCATTCACGAAATAAAATCGTCAGCGTATTAATAATATTATATACGAGGTAATATTATAATTAAATAATTGGACTCAAAAGAATCTCTTTTAGTACATACCAAACAATCTAGTTGAGATACGGGTGACTTGGAACCAGGTTGACTAATGTCCCACACCTTGACGCAGCCTTTGCCACCGGTGTAAACGTATTTGGTGGGGTTGCTGATGGTCACTGCACACACGACTTCACCGTGCCCGAGTGTGTTTATCTGACGAGCGTGCCTCGGGATTCCAGGGCCCATCAGTGCATCGGGCGGAAAGGGCACCGGTTGCATTTGACCTTCGGCGCTCACATGAAACGAATAAGCTCTACGAAAAACCAAAGGATATAAGTTATGAAAAAATAGTCGATCATATTGACGAGATGCCAAGACTTACGGTTTCCCGCCGGGAATGCCCAGTCCAGGTCCGAGGGGCGCTCTCATCTGTGCGTGAGGATCGTAACCGACCTATAGAAATAACAGCGTCGCATTAATTACACAGATAACGAGAAAGAAATAAAACCAGATTTTTTTTTTGTAAAAGGCTTTTACAGCTGTTTTAAAAATAAATCACCCATGTCAAAATGGTTGGCCACGATATGAGATTATAGTTTGTAAAACTCACCAGTGCTGGCCTGGGGTAACTGTTTAACGCAGCCGCTGGCGGCAAGTTATTGTGCAGGGCGCCGTAAGCTCCTGCGGCAGCCTGAAGATCATGTGGATTCGCTCCGCCTGCTAGGTAGTGCGGGTATTGCGCTAAGCGGACAGAAAACGACAAATAAAATAAACGAAAAGTCGAATTTAAAAAAAGAAATTTTATCAGTAAACAATAGCTTACCGGCTAGTGACGGTCCCTTGACCATGGGTTTCATCGATGAGCCGGCGGCTCCGCTGCAACCGCTGCCGCCACTTGTCGGCGTGATCGACTTTGATATTGGCGTGCTGGGTTTGTCTTCTAATTTCTTGGTGGACGGGGTGCTGGCGTTTGACGAGGTCCCACTCCGCGGACTGTAAACGCATAAAAAGAAAGGCGGGCAAAAAAAAAAAAAAAATAAAAGTAATGCGTTATATTATCATCGCTTAAATAAAAATCAATTTCGATAAAAACTAAAACGACAATAATATACCTGTGTGGCCCGATGTGTTCCTTTTTGGGTTGTAATTTGTCAATTCCGTTTTCTCTGGGTGAAGCCGTGCCGTTTAGCGGCGATACGGGGTCCTGTGAAACGGAACACACATTATAAATAATACGTCACACACGATTTATGTTAATATGTATTGTTGCACGTATAACGGGCGGGTTAGGTTAGGTCCAAACTTAAAAATGTTACACGATACGCTGAATATAATATTGGTATCGGTGCTCTTGGTCCGGGACGTTTTTCCCTAGGCATTTTTCGGATTCATTAAAAAATATGTCAACTATTATTCGTTCGAGAGTCGAAAGGTATTATAAATAATAATATGTGCGATTTAACGCGATCGAATATACGTATACACTGTACACACGCCGGGGAACACTTGAACTATACAATAATAATAATAATAATGATAATAATGAACGACACCGTCATTGATGGAGCGATATTATTTTTTTAATAACTTATGAGCAATCATTAACATAAGAAAATAAAAATCAAATCAATGCGTTTTATAGTTTTTATTTTTTATAACGACCGTCGTAAACTGTATATACTTGTATAGACTCTATATAAATACGATATTTCGTTTCGAGGCGTTATTAAAAAATCGTTTAATTTTTTTTTTCTTCCCCTTCAAACGCTCTAAGCGTTTACATACCCGTACATCCGTTTAACGTGTTTAAAATGCAGTACGCTTATTGATGGCTTAATAATATTATACGAACTAACGTATAGATCACAAGTATAGCAAAAACGATGATAACGATATTATTAGGTATGACACGTACCTCGCTGGCGTCGTCAACGACCAGGTCTTGATCGCTTTTTTCACCGTCGCTCGCCTGTAAACGATAAAAAAAAAAAGATTTAATAAAACTTTCGAAGGGAGCGCGAGTGATGCGTATATTGGCGTACATATTGTATATACGTGTACTGCCCTCGAGGTGGAAAGTGTAAATTGTCAAAAATAAGATTATACTGTAGTTATTATTAATTTGCAGATATTTTGCGTATTTTATTACAGGGGCAAAAATGTCATTCTACCTCGACAGTTGATTTTAAAATATTGCGACTACGCAATTAGTTGATACTGTTTAATGCGCGTTTATTACCTAGTAAATCGAAATTTAATTAGGTTTGTGCTGCTGTATACTACTGCAGTATCTGTTACACATACAGGAATGTACCTAATATAATAATTAGATACAACTGCAGAAAAACATTAAAAATCATATAATTCATTAAAAACAAAACAAAAAAAAAATGTAATCACTTTCCCCGCCCCAAATACGTATGCGTATGTCATGTATAATGACCATAAAACGTGATACCTACTATACCAAGTTAATTTTATTGTCCGATATAGAAAAAAATATATGAAAAATTTTAAATTCTCGAAAATTCACTTTTTATTGTTTCCATTGCACTTGCAGTGCGTATAAAACTTTTCACCGAAAAGCCATACAATATTCGTCGAGTTTTATACGTGTGTACTATGCGTAAAAAAACTTACGTGACAATCTTTTTCTTCTTTTTTCACTTTTTTGTGCGGTTCGATATCCGGCGAGCTTCTGACGCGAAATTTTTCCCTTTCCGCTGGCGATATGGAACTCCGCTGTGTATAAATAAACAGATAACAAAAAAACACGTAAGACAAATATATAATAATAATTTGAGAAAAGAAAAAAAAACGTTAATCGAACATCTCGGAGAGGGATAGGTTCGACGTATATATATATATATTCGTATACGGATTTTGGCCGCTTGTTAAAAAAAAAAAAAAAAAATCCCGGTATAACCAAATATTTGTACATAACCCGTACATAAACAGTGCGATTCTGTTATCGGAATCCTCGGTTTTTTTTTTGTCTGAAGATTTCAAGTAAATCGTTTATACGGAAATTATTTCGCACGGCTTTTTCGGATTTCGTGAACAATTGAAAACATTTTGTTAACAAATTTCATACGACCACCTTAATCGCGTACGTTTAAACGTTTTAACATTTTCCACGGATTTGAACAGAATAACGTGTATTTTGTATTATTTCTTTTTTTTTATTTTTTTTTTTTTTAAACGTAACACTTTATATATAATGGGATAACAGGTTCAAATACTACTTTTGTATAAAATATTATCGTTGACAAGATCGGTGTATAAACCATTGGAAAACAAAAACCACCCTGTATATAATATATACACACATTATAATATTATGTGTGTGTAACACTTTTGTTTTTTGTATTATTTCGTCGTGCGTGTCGCGCGAGGGTGGGACATGACGCGCAGAGCTGTACCACGTGTGTGTTTGTGTGTAATATTATTATTACGTGTACGGGAGGGAGGCGGGGAAAAAATATAACATTTGTCGAGAGCAACGGGGATCCTGCGTGAGGACGGCGGGAAATAAATAACGCGTGTGTTATACAGAAAAAAAAAAGGACTCGGGGGGAGAAAAAAAAACATGTGGCGCACCGGTCGTTTTTCGCCCCGGACCCCCCACCCCCGCGCGCGCCGTGCTCGTGTATCGAGCGCGCGTACCCCAAGGACCCAATAAAAACATTTCCCTCCCGGTCCGCCCCTCCCACACACGTACAAGACAGTTAATCCAATTCCCGAAAGCCATAACCTCAGTCGTATACACACGCGCACACACACACACACACACACACACATGTACATAACACACGTATGTAATATAACGTATGCGCCGTACATAATACTTGTGTATAAATATATAATAGGTTATTATATATATGGGATAATGCGACTTTGACGACGGGAGCGCGAAACAAAATAAACTGTTTGCCGGCGGATGCCCCGGGAAATACAATATAACGCATACAGTGTAGATTCCCCGGGGAGAGAGGGGTCGGTCGCCGACGGTGCGTGCGCTCGCGGTGTTAATTGCTCGCCGACCGCGCGGATCCCGACGTGAATATTTCTCCGGGCGGTCTCTGGATGACGACGACAGAGTTAAATTATTCGAGACGCGGCCGCATTAAATTGAAACACATTTTCGCGCCCGGGCCCCGCCGTTTTTGAACGTACCGAAAACTCTCGTGTCGAAACTGGGCACTGCGATTTATCGGGCACAGCCCAATACGATAATTTGATCACAATATAATTTACGAAACGCGATTTTTTATCCGTACGGAATGATCGTTCAAAGAGTTGTATATTTATAATATTATTATGAAAAAAACAAAAAAAAAGTTAGGCCCGCGAATTTAGCGGACGAAAACCTTGAGCGCCAATTTTCCCTTCAGCACTACACTTTAGCACTAAAGGGAATTTTCATGCTGAGTTTTATGGTTTTGTCTGGAAACAATTTTTCTACTAGAAAAAACCGTATTCCCGTCGGAAACTATCTCGAAGCTTTTTGTAACTAGTTGACGCGTTGAGAAGATCATTTTTTGTTTTTCTTTGTAGTTTCCCGAATAAACGGGAAAAAAATACGACTAATAATACTCTGCTCAGAATCGTTTTTTTTTTTTTTTTTTAAGCAATGGTTTATCGAGGATCGAAAATCGATTAGACGTAACTTATATTGCACTATACAGAAAATTTTGCTGCTTTTAATTTTCATACAGAGTCTAAAAGGTCTAAAGTCATATCGAAAGTGGTTCTTTTTGTTTCGTCTGGTTTTCCATGAAAACGAATATCATCGACGAAGTAAAATTTAATTTCCTTCGACCCCTTAAATATTTACGCGGACATAGTCAGACACGTCCGTTTAACCGGATCTTGTAATATTTTCACGCCTATCCCGGAGGGGTAGTTTCAAACATTATTCAAACGCGTGAAATCGTTTTTAACAAACTGCACCGCCCTGATTAAAAAAAATTAAAAAAAAAAAAAACGAACGGGCGAAAAATGCAATCGGATTATTTTCGATACTGTTACCGTGGGGACAAGGTAAATTATTTGGTGAAGTTTTTTTTTTTTTTTTTTTTTTTTTTAATATTATTTACCAAGAAAATCACGAGAAACGACGTATAAATTATTTGTAAGCTGAAAAATACGGTTTACACGGTTTATTCGAGTATGCATAATACACTGCAGTATACGTTTTACAATTTTAAAAGACATCGTTATTATTATACCCGTGTGCACGTGTATACACACAACACTCGCGCTTAACTTTCTAGACGGTTCTCGTCACAGTCAATTAAACGCACGAAAGTTCGCCGTGTTTTAATAAATTTTAATTATGAACATAGTTTTACAAATTATCCGGGGTTCGCTAATGACGACGGCGGCAAAGGAGACGCAGAGTGCTAATGAAAATTTAATTTTAATCGAAAAGTATATATTATCCTTTTTAAGTCGCTCGCCTTTCCGCGCTATATACCTAGAGCTAGTATTCGTGATATATATATACAACGTTGACTTTTGAGTATCGCGAGCCAGATTTAATTATAATTATCGAACGGGAAAGGAAAAAAAAAAAAAACTCATAAATATAATTTTTTTTTTATAATACACAGAGTGTAACGTTTCACTTTATTACATGCGCGCGCGTCCGGTCGACGAATTTAATTATCATACAAACGACGGCGACGGACGGGGGAAAAAAAAATCCGTCAGAACCCCCTCCCCCCGCCGATTTAATACGTGACTTTTCGATTACGGACGAATAATAAAACGGTAAAGGGGGAAAAAAAATAAAATAAAATAATAAACTTATCGAAAACGATCGGGTTGCGAAAGGGACGCATATGCGTTTGGCGGCGGTCTATTACACGGCGGCGAGGCGAGAGATGTATAAATATAACGAAAACGCCCGCGAGCCTCGCGGAACGGCGGCGGCGGCTGCGGCGGCGACGGGACGGAGGCGTCATCGGTGTTTTGTGGTGGCGGGCGCGGCGCGTGTGCGTGTGCGTGTAATATAACTTCCGAGACAATTGACTGTGCGCGCGGGGAAGCTCTTCTGCGGCGGCGGCGGCGGGGAAAGCTTTTACCGTTCGGTGCGAGTGAAAACGCGTAAAGGGTGTGCCCGCCGGGCGGCCGTCGGGGAGGGCTCGCGGTAGTTGTTGTCGGCGGCGGTCGCGTAGACGGCGGCGGTTCACGGTTTAAACTTCATCGAGAACTAATCGGCCGTGTGTAACGCGCGCGCGCCTCCTCCTCCCCCCGTCCGTCCGTCGCGTACCGCGCACCGCACGGCGGCCGTCCCCGCCCCGTCCGTCGTCACGGCGGAGGGTAAGTAGACTGCTCGTGAATATAATATATACACGGGCGCACACGGCGGCGAGGAGGGTCGCACGGGCGAAAGGGGCGACGGCGGCTTTAATTCATTCATTTGCAAACTTGTAATCGGCTCACGTCGTCGCCGGCGTCGTAGTCGTCGCCGCCGCCGCCGTATATAATACGAATATTCGTGCGTATACGTATATATATACGTACACATTGTACGTATATACCGTGCCACCTGCGGCGGCGTAGGAGTTTTGCGGGTAAAAGACGCGGCGCGGAGGGAACGAAAAGGGGACCCTTTTATACCGCTACTATATCTGTATATATATATATATATATTGCTTCAAACGGCGTTGTGTGTGTGCGCGCGTGTTCTTTCTTGTATACGGCTCGGGAGGAGGCGGCGGCGGCGGACGGAAACCTCCTCGCTCCGCCGACGCCGCCGCGTGATGAATTTGCCGGCTGGGATTTTCGCGTATTTCGCCCGGGGATTAATAACACGCCCCTCCGGAATCCAATCACGTATCCTCCGCCGCCGACGCGTCCCCTCGGCGCTGCCGCTGTTTTGATAACGATCTCCTCGGCTTTTTCTCCCGCTTCACCCGCTCTCCGCCGCCGTTCGCGTAAAATACACGCGCGCGCGCACACACACACACACACACACACAGAAGCCCCCGTGCAGTCTGACAGATGATATTGTGCACGGTCTGTCTCTCTCAGACGCCGCCGTCTCATTCACTCTCTCTCTCTCTCTCTCGGACCCGTGGGTTTATAATATTATATACCTTCATTGTTGTCGTGTTCCGCGATGATAATAATAATAATAATAATAATAATAATGATAATGATAAAGCAAAAGGGAGACGACAAACGAGCAAAAAAATAAAAAGGAAAAAAAAATACTCAGTATTCAGCAAACTCTCCCTCTCCCCTTGTATTAAACCTAAACAATAAAACGCGCGATGGGAGAGATAATGCCCGCGCGACCGCAAAAAATTCCGCCGGGGCCCCCTCGCGGCACGTATACATAATAAAAGCCGAATTTAACAACAATTGACCCGAGTCGTTAAAACGACGCGACGACGGTCGTGTTTTTTCTTATAGTATATAAGCGCGAGGTTTCCCACCCCATTTTTTTCTCTCTCTCTCTCTATCTCTTGCCCCGTTAAACACAATGAAATATAAAACCCCGGACGAGAGGGAAACGGGGTTTTTAACTCGGCGGCAGTAATACGCATTAATACAATAATAATAATAATAATAATAATAATAATGCTCGAGCGTTATTAAACCGCGAGTACACGAGTACCGCGGGGGCACTAGACAACAACGACTACTGTGCGCTGCTACCACCGCAGGGGCGGGCGGGCGGCGGCGGCGGTCCGCTTTCGTCGTCGTCGGAGCGTACACGCGCAATAAATACACAATATAATATACACGCGCGTTAAGAGCATGATAATAATAATAATAATATCGTTACTGCCATTCGTGTAAAAGTAGAGGTACGTTTTAATATAATATAACGTTCTCTACACGGTACATTAAAACACACCGGCCGGCGTACTTAAAAATCATTACCGTATAATAATTACAATATAATATGTACCTATATTACGGCCGCGTGTTTGTTGCCGCCGGTCGTACGTGTGTGTGCGCGCGCGCGCGCCGCCGCCGCCGTTTTATACTGCACGCGCTGTACACACAGCCCGCCCGGCACAACACACATTATACGAACGTCGTGTTCGCGAAATGTCAACACGAATATTCGTGTTTTGTCCGTACGTACATACGTACCCTACCGTACAATAATGATAATACTAATAATAGTATAACGGGTACGGTTAAACGACCGCGTGTACGCGGCGCGCTTGTAAAGAGGACCCCCGCCCCCCTCCATCACACCGAACGCGCGCGAAACCGTTCCGCACATAATACGTGTGTGTAATTAATCCACGGGCCGCCCGATAGTTTATCGAACACGCGCCGCCGGCCGGTGCGCCCTACGCGAAGGTGACCGCGACGGCGGCGGCGGTCCGTTTCCGTTAACAACGCGCCGCGTCTCGTCGCCGTCGCCGTTTAATTACGCACAGGACGATACCCGGGCCGTCTTACCGCGCGCGATAGTTCATTTTGCGGCGACTTCGTGTTCGGCCGGATTTTAATATTGCGGCGAATCGGCCAGGGACGGGCGCGAACGTAAAAAAATATTGCCGCGGCAAAGTTGGCGCTATTTTCGCGACATTCGGAGCGGTTTTTTTTTTTATCAAACGACAATACTTTAAACGTACTACAAATCGGGAACGTCGTAGAAAAAAAAAAAAAAAGTCGTGCGGTTAATGTTCATGACTTGGCGAGTCTGATGACAGGTCGAGGCTACCCAACGGAGTTCGGTCCTCGTCTTGTATCAAACTTACCGCCCCGAACTTACGGGACAAGGCGGGGGTTTTATCCACGGCGCAAGCGAGACACAAGCGGCGCGTATATCAAATCGCGATATTTCGCGTACTCTCTCGAGCAAAACAGCGCTGACAATGTTTTTCCAGACGTTTGATAACGATGCGCAATTCGCGACGGCCTTACTCACACGGAAATACTACGCGGGAGTCGTCGTCTCGTACGCGTTACTCGGTCGATTCGTTGGGCCGTTCGAGAGTCGTCGGTATAAAACTCGGTCACGATAATAATAATATTAAATCTCGTGATATCGGACGGAAAAAAAAAAAAAATTAGCGAGGCGCGCAACAATAATATACACAATCCCCGTATTTTACGCACACGACCGGTGTCGAAAACCGATATTTACCGAACAAAAGATATTGGAACGCGATCGGTTATAATACGCACACCCAATATAATATAATAATAACGTGTGTATACGTGTTATAATCACGTATATACCCGCAATACTACGCGTGTGTTATTTCGTCTATTGTGAGGTAAACTCGGTAAATTCTCTATATCGTCGCACGACATTGCAGGTATTGACAACACGTCAAAACGCGACGCTCTGAATATTACACAAAAATGATTACCACAACACGTGTATTTTATGCGAAATATTTCATAATCGGACCGACCAGAAGAGATGGGCCTTTGTTCAAAACGCAACACATTAATATTTTGTTACAACGGGGTTCGGAGTAGGTTTTCAAAATTGTAAAATTCGAATTGTTTCAATGACCACGCCCGCGTTCTGACGATAAGACTTTTCCCCTAATCTACTGTCCGGCGGGACTCGTAGGTACAGCCGTTCTCACGTTATTTACACGTACATGTAAAGTAGTTTTTAAACGAAAATGTTTGAAACTTTTACAGATTTTGTCCATTTCCAATGGTAAATAATTAAATAAAATAATTTTAATATCAAAATCGACCGACGCAGAGTAAACTTTTTTTTTTTGATATATAAAACTCGTACATTTTTAAAATCGAATCACGTGAATTATCTCAATTTTAGTGTCGGACGTTTAGGGCTTTGAAACAAAACACTATTTAAATGTAAAAACGACATTTATAAAATTAAAAAAAAAAAAAAAATTACAAATTTATGTAATATAATATATTTAATCACGACGTGGTTATCACACGTTTCCATTGTAATTGCTTAACTCGATTTCGATATTATTTTGAGTGCCAGTGTATCGAATCGCCTAGCCCCTATATAATTATTATAATACGGTTTTAATAGTTACCCTCGGTGTCAAAGAGGGAGAGATTAGCCCCCAAGTAAATACTCGATTGTCTAATCCAAACATCATGGCCCCCATCCCTCGACAGCCCTTGCGTAAGTTTTTAAACGAATAATAATTAGTTTCGAAGAGCAAATAATAATAATAATGGGAAAAAAAAACCCCAACGGTTTTTTATGGCGGTACGCGCGTCATGCGCCAGTATATTGTTAATTTACCTTGTCCTTTTTTTCTCTCTCTATATACGTCTGCATACATATATTTAGTAACTGCGGCTAAATAAACCGTATAATTGACCGAACGTTGTTGTAGTAGCAAACAATAATACTAATAAAAAAAAAAAAAAAAATCCGTTTTGAAATCATTCGTCAACGGCAGCGCGCGGAGGACAAATATACTGCAAAATAATAAATTGTGTGCGTTTGTAAAAAACGGAGAATAAAAAAAAAAAAATGAATGTAAATGTAAATGCGCGAAAAATAATTCAATTTAACGGGGAACACGGCGGCGGCGACGTTCGTGTTGACATTCGGACGGACGGGTGACGGGGTGGCGGCGGAGGGGCGGGCACAACGTCGTCGTTTACAACTCTTTTAAAAAAAATGTCTTTGTTACGGACGATTTATGTAATTTTTCACACGAGACTGACTCCGCCGCCACGACTACCGCACCGCAAATATTTATTATGCACAATACGAAAACACACGTGTATATTATTATTATTAGGTACACATGACAATAATAATAATAATAATAATAATAATAATATGACGACGACGTTTGTGTTATCACCTCATTTCACGTCCTCTGATCGCGGTTATATTATTATTATTATTATTACATTATTAATTATCGCCAACAAGGCCTTAAGATTCCAAATTAAATATTATTCGATTTCGGCGTGCGGTGGTTTTGACGACGAAGGGCTCGATATTGGCGGTTTTTTTTTTTTTCTGAAAATAAACCACCACTTCGGTATGCAGCGGCATATATTTACGGGGAAGAGGGGGGAGGGGATATCCCTTTCGACTTTGAGTGTATTATTTAACGCGGTAAAGGTGTGGATATAGACGTCGCTATATACCGTTTTCGCATATACCAGAATATAGCTATTTTACTCACATCGCTTTTAGGTTATATAGATAGATATTAGAATGGTGCGAATAAAGTGAACAAATTACTTATACGCAGTGATTATTCGATTCCGATGATAATTTTATGGCAGATCGAATACAATAATGTTACGAATTGCCGTTCGAAAATATGTAAATTAACATTTGATCATTTTTAGCCCGGGTACAACACACGTTGCACACAATATATTATTATTATAACACGATTTCCACGTTCAATATATCCCTTCTTGGAAAAATCGTAAATACGCCACTGCCACGGGGTATTGTTTCACAGTGTAACAACGATAATAAATACGTACACGTGGCGGCGCGCAAAGGGTTAAGGTAATAGGGGCGGTTGGCGCGGTATAGATGTTTTCGGAAACTCAATATTTCTCTCCGGTACATAATAATAATAATAATAATAATAATAATACATATTATACACCGCCCATCGCAGTATTAGTATGCGTATTTATACAGGGTGTTTCGTGTACAGATATGCGCGTTACGATATTTTCCGTCGGTAATTTTTTCTATTTATTTTCGACGATTTAATCAAACGAGCCCCGCGCTCCTATGTGTAGAAGGAATGTTACATTACCGTTATTTTTGGTCACGCTTTTTTGGGGGGTGTTCACAACACGACTTTACTGTTTAGATATTCGCACGGAATAGTCGTTTAAATATACGCGTTTCCGGTGTCTGAAACGTTCGATTACCGTGCACGCGTTTTGAAAACGGCGCATCACCGCTGCTCTCACGGCGAGAAAACAACGGGGAGACGACGAAATAACGCGACATTCCGGAAAAGCCGGCTTAAATACCAACTATCCGTATTTGGCGACGCGGGCGGGGAGGGAAGCAAATATTCGCGCGGGACGCCCTGTATAGTCCGGCGACGGTGCGTGTGTGCGGTTTATCGATTCGGCCGCGGGCCATACGGTCGACGGGGCGGCGGAATCCCCTGGTATTGCCGCGGAGATTAGTCGTCGCACGTCTGAAATTAACCCTTTCGGCTGCCGCCCTCGTGTTAATGGTTCCGATTACAATAATTATATACACGCCCGGTCCTTTTAACCCCGGTTATCCCCGGAACAAACCGCACCGCCGATCCGTTATTAATTATTATAATAGCGTATCGGTAGCGGTCGCGATAAAAAAAATAATAACGACGATGACGATTAGCCTTTTGCTCGCCGCAATAATAATACACCCGACAATAATACACACGGGGAGTATGAATAATTACGCGCGTCGTACCGCGACCGGAGCGCGATAAGACGGATAAGTCGCCCCTGCACAGCAGTACTCAAAGGCAATATCGCACGTAATAGGCTCGGATGTTCCCGGGAGGAGGGCGATAATAAAAGGAGGGCGGGAAACCGGGGCGATTTATCGGCCGTCGGCCTTAGATAAAAAAGCTATAAAGATGAAAAAAAAAAAATCCGCCTTCCACACTTAACGAATCAATTTCGGAACGCTCATTGGGTAGGAACAGCCGAATTCGCGACGACCTCAACGCCGTTATCGTTCCGCAATCACAACACACATACAAACGACAAACTATATGAAATTGCTAGCCGGCGATAACGAGTTTCTCCAATCAGCCAATTAATTCGAGGGTCTACAATCATTCTCCTCTATTATGTTATGATAACTGCAGTAAAAAGACAGATAAAACAGTCGTCTCAATAAAAAAAAAAAAAAGGTATATATTCACGATAAGGCCACGAACTTCCAATTTAATCGTATACCTGTTGTATAGAGAATTAAATAACAACAACGGTTTTAATTCATAATAATACCATGGCATAAAACAATCATGATAATATATTATTATTAGTCATGTTTACGTAGCCACGAGAATAATAGACAACAGCATAGACCATAAATCGCCGACGGGAAAAACAGAATAACATAACTTCAAAAAGGACCCTCCCTCCCTCCCTGGCATAATACATACTCTTAGAGCATGGAAAAAACACCGCGTACCTCATAAATACTGATATCCCATCCATGTTGTCCACGTCGTATGTCACAATCGAAATAAGCATAATAATCGTACGTATTATTATAATGATGCAAGTAATGTAAAACCATCGACACCGAGGAGATAAATAAAAGTATGGGACCCGACTGCCTAACCTTGAAGTAACTTTATTAATTTGGTATCTAAAAAAAATAAAAAAAAAAGTCAAAAACAAATAAACAAACGTCGTGGTCGTCGTATATATTATACACGCCTGTGTTGTATACCAATGACACAATAATACACTCGGTACACCAGTACAATAAGATGAAAGTATTTATGTAAATCGGACGACAATGGGGTTTATCGTTCGAGATCAATTATCATTATTATGCCGCATCTCGTTACGGGTTCTTGCACTATAAATCCGGTACGTAAATAAGTGATTTCCGACGACGACGGAGAGGTCGCAGTATAAAAAATGATACACGATGTACATAAAGAACCTTTGGGGCGTATACATTGTTTTCACTGCGATCGCGAACTTCTGATATATTCCGGCCGGCCGCACCCAAAAACCGATAACAATGAAACGGTTAAGAACTGCGACCGGTAATGCGAAATCGAATTTTTGCCGTTTATTCCACGGTCTCAGAAAATAAAGCCAAGTCGGACGAGAACGGAACTTTTAACGTCGGTTTTATCACGAGTATAACGAACAATTCGAATTAATAAATAAGTCGTTGATTATTTTAAAAGCATAAAAGAAAAACACCAATAAGCATTTTCGACGTTTCAATGAAGTTCGATAAAAAATTGGAATAGTCCTTTCAAACGACGTGCGAAATTATATAAATAAAGAGGAGATGGACGCATTAGCTTCCAAGACGAGAGAATCTTAAGCCTAACCCATATCCGCGTGTGGGAGTGGTTGAATCCGACTGGTCGTTACTGATACGCATTATATGGTAGCGATGTACAATGATGCGTCGCGGAAACGCGAACTTGGACGCCGTTTCGGTTTACACAGCAGACGGACTTTTCGATCTTTTTTTTTTTTTTTTCGAATTTTATACAGCAATAATATTTAATATTTGTTGTTTCGCGTTTCAATTCCGGAAATTCTAACCCGACGAGGAAAGATTAACAATAGAAAACGCGGACGTCATCGACTGTTTTCTAGAACGCACAAGTATACGCCGTAATTGCATAGTAATAATTATTGTATACGTACAATGTAATTAAACAAGTTAAACGTGTACTATAATATACACTACAATCTGTATAATAAATGTTTGATGTGCTCGTAGTGTGAAATATTAATTGCAATCATTAAAAAAATATAAACCATCATCGTTTAACCGGGTATAATTTTATAACAACAAAAAAATAATAATAAAATCGATCGAATACTAATAATCTAAAGTATAAAATGCCGCTGCGAACAGAAAAGAGCAAAAAAAAAAAAAAAATGTACGAAATATAATTAGATTAACGATCCCTGTTTTGCCGTATTACTATAATATTATATACTCGTATATGCGATAGGTCGACGGGTTAATTAGAATAATTCGTTATCACTTGTCGGGCGCGATAATATTATTATCGTACGTAGATAATTCGCAGACTTTTCGAAATGAGAAAGACCGTAAAATAATAAAAAATTAATAAATTCGTGCCCTTGAAACGCCGGCTTATTGCACAATACGACCGCGACCGGTTCGAACCCGGACCGCGGTAATCGTGTGGTACACGCGTATAAATGGAAAAACGTATCCGTAAATATCGCGCCCGACACATATATCGTACAGGCGGAATAACAAAAACGAGAAGAAAAAAACTAGTAAAAACGATTGCGTATTATTATTATTCGGGTGTCACATATATGCGCACTTTTTTTATTAACCGCGAACGGGAACGTCGCCGGTGCGGAACGGGGTGTATGTACGGTAAAGGCCGCAAGTATCCACGGAGATAAGTATAAAACTCGCGTGTTGCAGCAATATTATTGTTCAGGAGAGCAGTTAAAAACGTACAAAGCGTCTCTTTTCCAATGCAATAGTATAGCAAATTATTCGATTCAGCGGTTATCCGCGGGAGAAAGAGGGAAAAAACGAATACATAATATTATTGCGTACTTATTTAATTTAAACTTTATTATCCAATTAGATTTCAGATTTTATTTTGTCGTTAGAGCGGACCTTTCGGCGGTCTATTTCGAATTGTCTCGGTTTTCTTGCCGTCAAGGTGGGAAAAACTCCGAAGGGGGGACTAATTTACGGGAAATTCAGTGACCAATTAAATCTAATCAAACGGTTAAAATGTTTTTCATTCACGTACAATAATTGTTCGTACAAATGTTCTGTTACGACGCATACGTCCGCCGCTTGTGCGCTTCCCCTCCCATCCCCTTACATGTCACTCACGACTTCGCTTCAAGAAATATTGTTTCTATAAAAAAAAACAAAACAAAAAACTGTCATTTCGAATAGGAAAACCGGACGCATTATTTATTAATTTGCGGTAAAGGCAATCGAAATATCGCTTCTCGTCGTGTGAAAAATCGTTCACGCATCACGCACAACCTTTGCGAATGGCCGCCGTCGGTATAATATACCCAATACACGTTACACCGCGAAATAAAACGAGGGTCGGATCGCGAGGCCCGCAAACACGATAATTTTCCAGTCGCTTTGATTGAAACGTCGCCGTTCTATCGTCTGTCTCGTTCTCTCTCTCTCTCTCTCTCTCTGTATAATCGATCCCGCGTTTCAATTTCGAACAGATTACAATTCGTCGGAATTCACAGCGTTCTCCCCCTCCCCCCACATTCGATTCGTCACCGTATATAGGTATAATATTTATTATTATATACGTTACGCGTATTATACGAGGGGTACGAAAACGTCGGTAGAAAAAATAAAAAATAAAAGGCAAAACAGTAGTGAGGGGATGTGTTGTTTTTTTTTTTATTATTATTATTATTACTATATGTCGACCTCGTAATCCATTCCGTCAAAGTCTTGTTTTATACCATTATTTGATTTTTCCACCCCACAACCGCTGCTATACGAGGGTACTTTATACATACACTCACACGCGCATAAAGCCCGCCGGGTTATTCCCCCAGAAAGAGCCGACTGGTTGATGAAACGGACCGGAAAATAACGTTACCGCATCGGTCGCGCTGCTCTTCCCTCCCCGCTTTATCGCCATCGTCGCGAGCCCTTAAACGAGTTCACCCTCTTGTAACACCGCTTTGCCGATCGAGTATTCGTACATATATATGAACGAAAGGGGATGGGAAAGAAAGAGGGAAAAAGAAATAACCTCGATTTTTCCACGTTTCCCGGCCCCATGGGGGGCCACCGTCGTCGTCGTCGTTTGAAAAAAGGACCGACCGAGACGAAACGGATTGTTGGCAAGGAGAAATATCTCGAGCGGAAAAAAAAAACTAATCCCCGATTACGGCGGATTTCCACGGATTTTCTCTCTGGCGTATTTTTATTTTATTTTTTTTTTTCACTCCGTCCCTCCCCCTAGTATAGTTCTTATAATACACAAATAAATATAAGGCACGCGCGCGTACGAGACATCCGTATAGTAAACGCCGTCACTCGACGTTATCTCCCCGTGTATACACACACTGGTGGGCGATGCGCCCCGCGTTTTTTTCCCTCCCCCTCGTTTTACACCGCACAGGAGTTCTCGTTCTGTACGCGAGACGCACAAATCGCCCGTAGCCCCGTCGAAAGCGACGTGTGCGGGCCGTACAATATACACGCACGGTGTCGCCGCGGTATCGCACGGGTTACGCGCGACCTGTCGGGACGACGCGGACGTTTCGGAAAAAAACTATTGTGGCGAACGGCGAACCCTACGCGCGAACGGCGGCGGCGACCCGCATTGGATTACCGACGACGGACGCGCGTAAACAATAATCCGCGATGAATTACCGTCACGGGAACGGGGAGAGATGATGAAAAAAAAAAAAAAAAAAAAAAAAATGGAGGAAATAAACGACGCGCGAAACGCGTTTCGCGGGGACGAGGAATTATTAATATAAAACACACCGCCGTTCGGAAATCACGCGGACGGCCACGTCGAAAACGCGGCCGCGCGAAGGAGGGTGGGGGGGAGGAGGAGGAGGAGGCGACGCCGGAATAATAATGTGTATAATGTAAATTTATATTATGCGCGGAGACGGGGCGGAACGGTGTAAGTGCGACGGTATATAACGGCGGCGGGTTCTTTTGTAATAGGAAATCGAGGGTAAACGCGAGCAGGGACGGCAGCCGATCCCTATCGAATTTGACACGCATTTAAATTCGTGGGGAGTGCGGCCAGATGACGTATACATATGGATGAGGTTCGTTCAAACATTACACACCGGCGGCGGCGGCGGCGGCGGCAGTGTACACATGCCGTCGCCGGCCGACCCTTATCCGTCGACGAGATGCGCGAGCGGGGAACACGACCCCTATTGTATATATATACGCGTATACAGTCACACGCACACACACACACACACACACACACACAGTGTTTGTTTGACGACGACGACGGCAGCCGGGTAACGCGGCGGCGGGACGAGGTAGAGAGAGCCGGCAACCCCATCACGGCGGCGAGCAACCGGAGTAACAAGGCGTCCCTTCATTAAGTGCTATCCTGGGTGCATTAATTTAATTTCAACCCCTCGTTCCGCGCACCAAGCCGCCGCCGTCGCCGTCCGGATGGGAAATTTGTTATGGTTGGCGGCTCAAAGATTTATCCCCGGAAAGTGGCTGGTGAATGCGGCGGCGGCGACAACGGGGCGAAACCGGCGGATTACACGCGAAAACCTCACGCCGCGCTTTTGTTGTAATATACGACGGCGTCACGCGCGCACGCCGCACACATAACGTTATATTTATCTCGTATAATTATACGCACGCACCCATCATAATATACAATGTAAACGCCGAGATATTCGATATAACGTTAAAATATATAATAACATTATACTGCGGGGTGTCTATCGTAATATATAATATACTGTATTAAAATAATAATTATTATTATTATTACTCACGTGTCTTTCTTCAGCCGAACTCAGTCCTGAAATCATAAAAACGAAAATTATTCCCCTTCATTAACCACGAGGAAAAACACAACAGTACAATAACCCCGTCGAAAAGTTTCCGCGGAGAAATATTATTTTACTATCGGTCCCGAAGAGCCCGTGCCCCCTCAATCCCCCGGTATTATGATATACGCGAAAACAGATTACACAATAATAACGAACGATATTCCGTCTTATCGATTTTGTTATTACGCTTATACCCGGGTGGGTGTGTGTGGGGGGGGGGGGGAAATCCTCCCGAACGATTTCGTCGCTTTATCGGTCCGACAATGGCTATATATTTTGGATATCCTATGGCTATGACGAGGGTGGACAAACGTTTTTTTTTCTCTACTGAGAATACACATTTTTTTCGTTTGATGATGGATTTTCATAAGAAAAAAAAAATCGCAATTATTAATAACCCACCAATAGATATTCTGCATAATACACCCGAATAAAACCAAAATTTAGGTAAAAACACCGTTTTTTCTCCTCGATTGAACTGACGACGAAACAACGATCTATTGAGATGGAAATCAATTGGCGATCGTGATTTATCAACAAATCGTACGAAATTAAATTCTAACTAAAGGAGATCGACATTGACATCGTCCGCGATCTACCGGTCGATCGACGTTTGGCCGCCCCTGATCTGTACTGTTATTACACCGTAATATATTATGCCGAGTCGGCTTTTTAATCGGACTAACCGCGTGACGTTCGTTATGATTCGACGGGCGATAAAAAAAAAAAAAAAAACACTATAAAAACACTATACGCGGTTAACGATAACAGTTTACGAACGGATTCCGCAAAAAGAAAAAATACTTTCAGATTCCGAAACTATTTTAATATATCGTGTTGAATTGAACGAGTTAACGTTATAATAAAGTCGTAATATTATCGGTAGCGTGCACAGAGGATGGGGTTAAGGGGTTGGCGTCCCGTCGGCTTAAAAATATAACGACTACGAGTAGTATTTGTTTTTAATTTTTAATAATTTAATTTTAAAATAGTGTATCGCGTGGCCGAGTTTCACGAGGAAATAATGCTCGACTTTTTTTTTTTAAAACATTCAACGTTTTAATTAATTTACTGTCTGCGTTATAGAAATGTAATTTCACCAGACTGAATTATTGATAATAATATATTTTCATCATTGTTGTGTCCGTCGCCAAAAACATATTAAAAAAAAGATATCATACCTTTAAAGATAAATATTAACGGGAAGCAATTCGTAAGAAAAAGGGATTTCGGAACGCAATGTGTTTGCTGCGAAAATTATAAAATACCCACTTTAAGTTTTATAAGTATTGTATAAATATGAAGTTATATAATTTGTATTTATTAGGTGAGTATTTAGAAAAAACTAAAAGAATGTGGTTAAAGTAAAAGTTGATTAATGATAAAAGTAAATATTTTGGAATGCAGCGTAAAAACGTCATATAATATTTTCATGTTTAGGGCGTAGCGAGACATTTTTTTTTTTATAATCATAAAATATCATCCAAAAGTGCATACGCCCACAAAAATTAATTTACCAATACGCCACTATATACATATATACATACACACACACTATTATGCACTACAAATTTAGGACTTAAATTATCGAAGACTAGATTATTATTACGAGTTGAATGAAACTGCGTGTATGACACAGATAGATTTTTTTTTTTTATATAGAAACAATCGCATCATAATATAGGTACATTATATATATATATATAACACATGGAAATTGCAAAAAATATTCTAGACAGAAAAAAAAAAAAAAAATCTCGTAAATTGTGTTATTATAGGTACCTACATTATATTATATGAAAAACGCTATATAAATCGTAATAATAATTATTATGACATAACTTATATAAAACGATAATATAATATGCAAGATAACGGGGTTAGCATTTATATATATATAACGGAAACGGCTGCGGCGACGATATATAGACACGTATAAAAAATCGAAAAAAATAATAATAATAATAATAAAAAAAAAAAAAAAAATTTGACAATATATCGAAACAATAATGGATAATAATGATGTGTTTTATGATGTAGAAAGGGAGACGGCGGCGATAGAAAATTACAACAATGTTCCAGCCGATCGGTAACAATGCGTAACCGTACACTGCAGGTGTATTAAATCGTATCAAATCGGGAATTTTTATTATAATATAATGTCGGATTCGGGCGAAACATGTGTGAAAGAAAATGCGACAGCGGCACCCTTGACCTGAAAACGCGAGAGACGTGGAAAAAAATAATAATAGAAAGACAAAAAAAATTGCACTCTTAACGCGTTCGATACAGAAAATTTGTGTTTTATTTTTTTTTTTTTTTTTACATAATTTCTTAAGGCCAGTATACGTGTCCATCGCGCTCGCATTAGCAACTGTTTACGGGGCTTTAAAAAAAGGCCGAATATTATGATACGTTCATCGGTTTTTTCACTATATGTCCGAACGAGAACTGTGTAGGGTTTTGCGAAATTATTTATTAGAACCGCGTTAACCTTTCATAATAATATTATTTAGTCGTTTTACGAGCAGAGCGCGTACTTTCGAAACGCACGCCACAAACCGATAAGACCAAGCGAATTGTGACGCGCAATTATTATTGTTTATTTTCAACGAACAACAAATCGCACTATAAACTCGCCACACAACGAACTTTTTCGATGTTGAAAATTCGGTTGTCACTGATGTTATGTTTTGGTTTTTTTGTTTTGTAGATCTTTATATTATTATAAATTGACAGTGATTGTACCGAAACGGATCGGACAGATAGCTCGTAAAACGCAGTACGGCCTACTAGAGTTAAAACGCATTAACAAACTCGCGGACCGTTAGTGAAATAAACACCGTCATACGTACACTTAGAAAATGCTCTCCAGAATAATTGAAAATTTTCGATATTCTCGTGTGTACTTGAAAAGTGCGCGACGTGTGTCCGGACAAAACCGATATAAAGTGGAATTTCGGACGATTTTTTTTTTAAAAATTCGAGATTTGTCTACGAAATAATACGCCCGTGTTTAAATATAATTAACAATCGTCGTTTACATTAAGTCTAGTTTAACTGACGAACCATTATTATTAATTTTTTTTTAAATTTTTAGACCGTATCGAGTTAGCACGTTATGAAGGTAAAAATCAGATTTCGAAAACAAACCGGGATCTGAAATGTTCCGCAAACTATATGCTACTAATCCAGAACCGAATTCGACATTCGTGACAGATTTATTGAAATATCTCATCGCCGTCGGCCTATAATAAACCGCCCGGGTTATACATTTTATCGCGCTGTATAAAATATACAGGACAGCGCTGCGCCGCATCGATTACGCGTGATAAGTGGCTCGGGGCGGGGAAAAAAAAAGAAAAGAAAAGAAAACTACTAAAGAGGGATACACACGTATGCAATGCTATATATGTGTTATATATTGCAGTCCGGCTCGATCCCTACACTCGTATAATACGCACTTTTATGTATTTATATATGCGGGACGACGCCGTCCCGAGTGACTTTCCCGCCCCCTGCCCCGAGAGGCGTACTCGGCCGTTATTGCGCGTACGATAAATATGCGACGCTTGGACCGATACGCACGCGGACGGCGGCGACGGGGCCGGTTGCGAAGTACGGGGGAGGGGGGCGCATACGGGCGGAAATGATTAAAACCCTTTTACACGGGGCGGTAAAGGCCACTCAATGGAGGACCGTGTGCAGTACACACCACGCCGCCCTCGAAACTCACTATACAATACCCCTCGCGAGCGATGATCGTAGTCGATCCCTTTGACGACCGACTCTATCGCACGGTCTCGAGTACTTCGGTACACATTAGCATCGTATTAACACTTCAGTCACACGGTCATCATTTTTTTTTTATCACGTCTCCGATGTCGTCCCGTTTAACCTTCTCCCGTCCCCCTCCAAACCGAACGGGAACTTTTTGCCCAGAGGACATTATACAACGCGGTCGACGTAAACATGATGACGATGATAATAATAATAATAATAATAATAATAATAATAATAATAATGACGATGTAACGTGCGAGTAGGTCGAGTATTACTTACCGATGGCCGACGACGGTTTGTTGTCCGAATCGGCGCCCCTGTGCATGTCAGTCGGTTTGGCGCCCAACATGGACAGCGGATGGGCCGCGGAGCCGGCCGCTCCGGCCAGGCCCAACAGGCTGGCGGCCGCGGTCACCGGCGGTCCCGGCAGTCCGGGATGGGGCATCATCGGTATGGGCGGCGCGTGGGCCGCGTGCGGTAGCTGCTGCGCGTGCATTTGTTGCTGTGAACAGAAACGCAACGCGTTATTATTATTGTCGTCGTCGTCGTCGTATGTTTCGAACGCGTCGCGTGACGCTCGGTGCTCTGCGGGGGCGGGCGTTTGTTTATTTTTAAAATTATATGTATATATATATATATATAAATATATATATATACACATACAAACGCGACGCTTGGAACGGAAATAAAGAGGAGGAAATAGAGAGAAAAAAAAAAAAAAACAACGATCGCGCGTCTCGTCGTATGGCGCGAGACGCGCGTATTTATATACGTATCGCTGTGTGTTTGCACAGTGGCCGTTTAGCGGTTATAAATAATATTATTATTAATTGCAGTACGTCATATATATATATATATATAAAATAGTACGCATCGTAGGAGCCATCAAAACGTTCATTCGGGTAGAAAAATTAATTTATATATATATATAAAAAAAAAAAAAAAACACACACTACAAAAAACCGTACACGCGTCACGCGGGCGCGTGTTAATTATCGCGCGGCGTGTGAATCGCGGGCGCGTAACGAGTGTACGTTTCGTTTGCGAGGTTGTACATATACATAAAAATCTGAAAGTCATTCTTACCAATAACCTGGGCAGATCTGGACGTTGTTGCTAAAAAAGAAAAAAAAAACACGACATGTAATAAACAAACGTTTTGGGCCTAAAAAAAAACACGGAAGCATACATTATGAATAATATTCCCCCGAGTCGTAACTGTACTTAAAATGCGGAATATATTTATTTCCACGCGGAGATTCGCACATTCGCGAGTTTAATATATTATTGTTATTATCACGATAATTTCGGGGCGTCGTCGTTCTCGGTCGAAGTTTTAACCCCTTCTGTACATTAAAATTATAATATTGCTGAGGGGGGTATGAGAATTGAAAAAAAAAAAAATGAGAAAATATTATACAATATACAGGTTATATATTCGCTTTGTCTGTGTATATTTTTAAAATGCCGCAATTTTTATGATTTTTGTCCAAAATCAGGCCTTAAAACACGCTTATTACACACACATATATATATATATATATATGTATGTAATAAATAAACTTCAAGTAAACTACTACGAAAAAAAACTTGAAAATGTAAAACGCCTATAAATCGCTTACTGATGGCCAAATTGGTTTGAAAATTTATCACATCTAGAAAATGCTAACCGAATTACACCAACAAAAAAAACAAAATCGAAAATAATGAAAACGTTAGCGCGGTTAACTTTCCGGTATTATCGGAGAAAAATCCACGTAAAACCAATCGACTATATTATATACTTTCTTGCGCGCATAAAAAAGACACGAGAAGCTACTACTCTTGAAATCCTGAGCAAGGAAAAATCGGAAAAACCGGCGGACGAGCGCGCCTTCAAGTTTCGATTGCCAGTACGGTTTTAACGTCAACGCGGCTCTTTTGCATTTTATAATGCAACGTCGTAAGCATTTTAACGCGCGGCAGCGGCGACGGTTGTTTTGACAAAACGGCGGCGGTACAATATTGTACGCCTTTTTCGCCCCGCGTTTAGAGGAGCCGCAGCCGTTCAGGCGTCGTATATTATATTCCCCCAAACAAACCGTTTTGTTCAAACACTCAGAGGAAAAAAAAAAAAACCGCTCGAGTGGCATTAACGCCCGCGGGAGGTTTTTCTTATCGAGTGCGGAAACAGAAAAACCTTTCCCCTCTCCTCTACAAGTACGTATACGTGTGTGTATATATATACACACTCACACACACCGTCGTCCTGTCGATATATACGCGCGTACACACAACGGAAGTCTTTTGACGAGCGCGAAAAACGGGACGGCGGCGGCGACCTAATAACAATGGACTTGACTGTGCGAACGGATTTTCTTTTCACCGCGCGCGCGCAAGAACGAGGGGAAAATACATGTATTATCAATATATATTACGAGATCTGGTTTTTTTCTCTCTCTCTCTCTTTATATTATATTACATCAACACGTCTACACCGCACCGTTATGCGTACGCGCGAGGGATCGGATATAACGATCTATTGGCATATCACGGGCAGTGGCGTGGCGAAGTGCATTATTTTATCGGGCAATTCATTTTTTTTTTTTTTAATGACCTACCACCACCCCTCGACTCTTAGGTCTATTGATCATTATCATTACCCATGAATAAATGTACAGTATTCTGGGCTGATTGCTTTTCCTAGAACACTTATTATTAATTTTATTATTCTTATTTAATATCATATGACATATTCTGATGAAGTTAATCTCGTACTACAATTTCTCCACAGACTCCAGTACTCAACCACCAGTCACCCACCCGCCCACCACTTAAAATTATCGGGCAATTGCCCCTTAAAATCACGGCCAACACGCCACTGATCACGGGTACTATTATAAATAGAGTATTTTAGGCGAGCACGTCCCATCGTAAACGAAACAGGTTCACCACTATTGTCGGACCTAGTAGTATCACCACGTCGGGTGTAATAATAGTCGAGTATATTATTGTTTATCGAGGGTACTGCGACGACGCGCGGTACAATAAACATACGTGGGGGGAGGGAAGGAGGGCGGGTGTCGTGTTTAGTTTATACCGTGCGCGACAGTTTATGACGTATCGTTTAAAACGACAAAAAAAAAAAATAATACCCGGATGATGAATAACGGCCGAAAACTTCGATAAAACGTTTCGAATACCGCCGAAGGGGTAGAAACAGAGGTACCGCGTGACAAACGCGGAGTGCGTTTTTTTATTAACCGTTAACCGAACAAGTGGTTTCCGTCTGGATATAAAACTAACAGCTCGGAATACGCTCGGCATTCGAAAACGAAAACAAACGCGTTAGAAAAACGTCGTTGCATATTATCCGTGTCGCGGATGGAAACCGTGTAATCGTCGGACATTAAGAGAAAGAGACAGACAGAGAGAGAGAGAGAGAAAAAGAGTGAGAGAAGACACGTCATATAGCCGCGCGTAACGTGTCTGTCTCGGTCGGAGTCCGGCGCGAACGGCCTCTTTGCGCCGTTAGTTTTCAAACGTTACACGTAAGCCGGCCTGTTATCGAACTTGAACACACTCAACAGTCGAGACTCAACGTCGGCGCTATTTTTCCCGACGTATCAACACCAATACACGGGAGATACGGTTGCGCGGAGTAACAATATTAACGACCGCGGCCGGGAAATTATTACTTCGGGGGGTGGGGGGGAACAAAACGGCGTCGACGTCGCGCGCTTATCCGGTCCGACCCCCGGCAATCCGCGCGCAAACGTTGAGAACCGGCGACGCGAAGCGTCGCGCCCGCCGAACGCGCCGCGATAATTCCCCGCCACCGCGTCGTCGTAAAAATACGCGTACATGATATTACGTGAAACGGAGACGGCTTTTCCCAAAATAACGCGACGACGACGGTAACAATATAAATTTTCGTTGCGGGGGGAAAAAAAAAAAAACGTTTCTACGTACGCGTATTATTATTGCGAGGCGATCGTTTCCAATCGATATCGCGGTATAACAAAAAGATAACGCGAATAATTTACCGTCGAGCGTGTGTGTGTGCGGTACGACTCTATACACAATATCTACGACGACGAATTATTTGTAAAGATTCGCCGCGAGAACACACACACACACACACACACACGCGCGCGCGTACGCGTATGCGTTTATATATTATGTAAAAAACATTAAAAAAAAAAAAAATCTTCCACGTAAATACACACGCGGGCTGTGTATTCCTTTAAGTGTGTTTGCGCTCGGAGAAGTTCGCGTCGCGTGTGATTTATGCGATAGACGCGGCGGCGGTAAACGCGCGACGACTCTACAAAAAAAAAAAAAACCCCAATACGTTTATGTTTACTGAGCGACCGACTACACGGCCGTTAATATTGTTGACCGAGGGTATAGAAGACCCGGAGAACATTATTACGATGTCCGGAGTGTCGTCCCGCGGAGTGTCCGACAACAACGTACGTAACGATTACAATATAATGTTATATTGTTACGTCAGATTGAATTTGTTTTTTTTTCTCCTCTCTCCTCGCACCGCGAATAATAAATTACTAAAAATTGTCGTTTCCGTTTCCGCTGTACTGAATAATGCCTATCGATTAGCCGGTTTTTCCGCGCGAGATGTTTGGTCGATGATTTTTGTCAATTATACAAGTATATCGTGGACGCTCAACGGTTCGTCGTCAACCATGCAACGCCCAAAACTTATGCTTTAAAACCCCGTTTTCGGATCACGGATCGAGGTATTATTACGAAAGACACAAAGAACGAATATCGAATGGGGGGGGGGAAGTTTTTTCTCTGAACTCGACACCTGCGCCTTGTACGGAGCGAGGGGTCGCACCGCAGAAAAAGAAGCTATAGACGGACTCGAGAGCGATTGACTGTGTAATATTTCCCCGGGGCAGCAAGAAGAAAAAAAAAAAAAATAAATAAATAAAGGTATACGGGGAGTTTTGTTTGCTTGCGCGGGTTTATTTTTTTTTTTTTGCGAATTTATTTTAATAACCGTAAAAAATATTACATTTTTTTATTTTTTTTTGTTTTCCATCTCTTTTTACTATCTGGCCCGACAGCAATAATTATTATTGTTGGATACAAAGAACGACGGTCTGTATACAAATAAATATGTATATACATTACAATAATGGTGTGCGGTAAAACTTTCGCGAACCCTCTTCTGGCGCGCCGCACGCCCGAAAGTATATACATAAGAAAACGGAACCGGAAGCCGCGTACAAACTCGTGTATATATACATATATATATATAAGGGGAAAGACCGAACGGGCGCGAAGGGCGGCGATAATAATTACCGGCTGCCGACTAACGAAGTGCGTAGAGAAAAACCGCACGTCCGGAACATTTGTAGTGTTAGTAGTGTTTTGTGGGACGGAGGAGCTGCGACGGAGAAAGGACGCCGGCGGGCGGGAGCGAGAGAGAGGAGAGCGCAATTAGCGGAAGCTTCTCTCCGTCGGCAGAAGGGCCGCCGCCGCCGCCGCCCTCCGAGCGCGGTTCCCTCTCCCCGCCACCGTGTAGACTCGCAGCCGCGCCGCCGTCATTATTAAACGTTGAGAGGTTCCTCTCTCGCGGATAGACACGACGCGCCGGGCAGAGAACATTAATCGAAAATCTCCCCTCTTTTACCGGCTCGTTCGCCGGGTGTATATTATAATAATAATAATAATAATAATAATGTAATTTGCGCGCGCACACACACCCGGTAGAGTAAACACGATAATTACGTTCTATACACGCCGACGCCGAGCCGTGACTACACGACTATCCGGCGGAATATTCTCCTCCGGTGTAACGGATACGCGTCGGCGTCGTCGCCGAAATGTGCGAATTCGTGTACGTCAATTATTATTGTACGGTGATTTTTTTTTCGTCTCTCGAAATTAATTATACGCCTCGACCCGGCGGCGAAGCGGTCGAACGGCATCGCGGAAAACCGGAACAAATCAAACAATAACCCGACCGGGCCATTATAGCGAGGCCGGGAGGCGACGCAGAAAAAAAATCAGAAAAAAAAAAAAAAATCGCACCGACCCGGGCGTATAACGCGGAAATTATACGGCGGCGGAGCGGTCGCGCGCGTATAGCTCACCCGTACGCGCACACGACCGCGACGTGTATACGTATAGTACACGCGGAGACGAAGGGCAAAGCCGCCGCTGCCGACGAGCTCACGTTCTCCGGGACAATATTGAGCCGGAGAGCTCGTTACGCGCGAACTTCCGCCGCGACTGCGATCTCGCACCTACTCCTCCTCTACCTCCTCTCGTACACCGTCGTTTCGCCGGCCGACGATCTCTCGCGCGTCGCACGCCGCCGCCGCCGCCTCCTCCTCCTCTTCTGCGCGTCGTGTATATATTCCTCGGCCGTGCCGCCCGCACGCCGTTTTTATTCGCAACGCGCCTCACAGCGTGTACATATATATATATATATATATATATATATATATATATATACGAAGTACATACACGCGGCTAAAATAGAGGTTCATACAATATTCAACGTGCGTTACCGCCGCCGCCGCGTCCCGAACTTTCGACGCGAACGTGACCGGACTGGGCAACAAACGCGCGACTTCGGCCCGACGGATCTCTTCACGCAGTCGTCGCGGTCGCACCGGGACCCGCGGCGACCGTCCCGGCGCTAGTAGCACGCGCGACATAATGTATACGCGTATAAAAACCCGACGAGACTATTGCCGCCGCCGCCGCCGCCACTTAATTGCTTCTGGGACGACGCGACGCCCCTTGTAATATTTATATACGACACGTAAATAATATACGGGGCGGGGGAGCAGAACGGAAACGATACAAACACCACGGTTTTCTCTCGTTCTTTTTATATTTCGACCATACGTATATATTATAATCACACGCATGAATACGACCGATACGCGACGCCGCGCCGATGTTCTTATCCGGTACGTACATCGCATAACAATAATATTGCAACGATGAGTGCACGCCACATAATTTACTGTACCGCAAATAGTATAGTGTAGTAGTGTTGCGCTTACCCCGATGATGGCGTTGAGTTCGGTCATGGTCACTTGTTTCGCCCTTTCCACCGCCGTGGCCACTTGCTGTTGGTGCTGCAAAACACAACGTGACGGGAAAAAAAACCCGGATATTAATACGCGGTAAGAGGTGGGCGGCGGGTGGTAGGGGGGGGGGTGTTTGCATTGCACGGGTCGGGAGAGAAACAAAATCAACACACGGTGACACCGGGCGTTTATCACTCACCTCTTGCGAGAGAAACGGCATTATCTGCGCGATGATGGCGTTCAGACGCTTCGCAATTTCCGTCTAAATAAAAAAAAAGAAAAAGTCAATATATTATGTTGCCGTTACACGCACAATACGCATTATAAATATCCGATAAAATACCGGGGGGGGGGAGGGGCGTAAACGATATTTATGTTGTCGTCTTTGTCGTCGCGCCTCGTCTCCGACGGGACGCGCGCGCCGCGACACGTCGTTAACGGCGTAACGCGGCGCGAAATTAATTAGACCGGACCGGGGAGGGGTCGCGCGCGGGTTTTTACGACCGTTTTTTTTTTTTTTTTCTATTATTATTCTTCAACACGTACGCGCGCGCGAGGGGACTAACGGACGACGTTTATGCGAGCGCGCGTGTATCGCGCCCGCTAAATTACGCGTACATTTATTCGCGCGCGTATACGTGTACACGACAACCGAGCGGGCGCATTAGCCGTTTGTCGGGGGGGGNGGGGGGGGGGGGGGGGTAGAGACGGTTTCGCGTTATCGCCCTCCGGTTTCGCGCGCGCCCGCCGAGCAGAAGCTCCCGACCCTCTCACTCCCCCCCCTCGCGCGGCAGTAACGCCGGTCGGGTCGGGCGGCGGGCGGGCGGGCGGAACGGAAAACCGTCAAGGCTCGAGTGTTTCGCGCGCGCGGGATATAATGTTTTCCTTCGGGCTTTGCCACTCGACACGAGTGGCGCGGGGCAGCCAGCGCCGCCGTCGCCGACCCTCCCGCCCGGCGCGGAACGCGCAAACGACCCTTGTAATATGTGCCAACTCCCCGAGTTTTAATAGCCGCGTATATACGGGGGCGAGTCCTCCGCGCCGCCCGTTATATAAATAAGCCGCTTCCCGGGTCTCGGTCTCTGTCTCTGCCCCTCTCTCTCTCTCTCTCTCTCTCTCTGTCCCCGCGCGACTCCTTTTGTGCCGCGACGGGCTTTACGCGTATACGTCGCGCCCCTCTTCTCTTTTACGCCGCCACATACAATATCCGCGCCTCCCTTTCTTTCCCTCGTCCCGCCCGCGGAGTAGTCCCGTCGCGTCTCGCATTTATCCGCGCCCTCTCGCCGCGATATTTTATACGTACACATTTCTTCGACTTCTTTCACGGTCCCCGTGTCATTATACGCGTATACGTATACATTATCTACATCGCCCCTCTCGTAAACGCGGCGCGCCCGTTATACATAAGAACGCCCGGTATAATAATAATAATAATAATAATACACTTTCCGGGACCGCGCGAAAACCGCACGCCGATCGAACGGCGGCGGCCGCCGCGTATTTTCTCTCTCTTCCGCACACATAACATTACACACGTCGTCAAACACTGCGCCCGAACCGCCACACAACAGCTATTTATACGTATACACGTTACGCCATTATTGTTATCGTCGTCGTTACAGTCGGCGCCGGGACCGTTGGCTCGTAATATACGATTGTTACGCGCGCACGCATGTTATTATCTTGCATTGTCGTCGGTATTACAACTAAATGCCGAGGGGATTAAAAAATAAAATAAAAAACACCGTACGATAAAGCGCGCGTGTTGTATCCTCTGAAAGCCGTTGTACCACGCACGTTCTGTATACGCGCCGCGAATTCAATCGCGAATAAATACCGATAATGGCCGAACGAATATCCTCGCCGAAACACGAAATTTAAGAACAACGACAAGGCGAGATGTAACGAATGGCGAAATAAAACGCGTATATTATTTTGGATTTGTGTCGCGCGAAACGGATTTACAGCGTTCAGGCGGCACCGCATCGTATAGGGACGGGGAGGGGGGGTGAAACGCGCAAAAGTCATTGACGTTCCGTCTTTAATTAACAGACCGTGTCGTATAATTTTCACTTGGCCGGGCATACCCGACGGCGGTTCGTAACGTGTTCTCCCCCTCACCACTTTTTATTCCTCTCCCATCGGGATCCGCGTGTTACCGCCGTTCACGCGTACAGTATTAATTAGCTACCTATCGTCGAGTTTCTGACGAACTCGTTACACGCGCCGGTAAAGTCGCGAGGCGGTCGGGTATGCAAATCGTTTCGCGTCTTTTTGCGTGCGTTTCGATCGTACAGGCGTGTTTGATTGAAATAAAAGTAAAGAGAGAAAAAAAAGAAAAGAAACTTCATCGCGTTGTTTACCGTTTACATTACGCGGCGACGACAACAACGACAATAACAATATTATAGCGCCGGCCGTATTGTAACGTTACACTCTCGTAGTCCGCGTGGCGCGATTAATGTGTAGCGCGGACGGCGGCGGGTATTAGGCGGCGCACCGAACACCGCGATTATTAATTACAGCGCGCCGCCGCTGTTTCTGTCACGTTGAGAAATCACTCGCTCGCTGTTCCCCGCGCTTCCTCAAACTTCCCCGGGCCCTTTCTCGGTTTCATTCCGCCCCTCCGCCCCACTCCCCCGCCCGCCCGACTAAAAACGGCGCTCGGCCGAAATGGATTTTCGACGGCGGCGGGCGATACTATACCTCCGGGGCACTTATTGTTATTGTTATTATTATTATTATTATTATTATACGGGAGCGACGATATTTCGGCGACGGCCGAGTTAATCGGGGACTCGTTAAAAAAAAAAAAAAAAAAACCCGGAGGGGTCGGAAAGATTATACGACGTCGCGTTGAAAAAGAAGGGGAACAAATACATATATACGCTGGGGCGGAAAAATAGTCCGGGCGATTACTCCGCCGAAATGAATTTACAACGGCGGACGACGGGGTGGAAAAAAAAAAAAAGAAAAAGAAAGAGAGAATCCTCCCGTTTCCGCGCGCTCATATATATTTATATTATAACAGCTCTTTCTGCCCCGGTCTTTCCGCCGTCTCCCCTGCATGGGCGTTTTGTACGAAACGAATTATTAATTCGGTGGGATGACGGTTTTAACGACCCTTTTCCTGCAGAAATTTGCGTCGGTCGTAACGGGATTAAAAGAAGTGGAAAAAAAAAAAAAAAAAAACAGTACACGAACCGAGGGCGAAATGTTTCGAGATTTCTCGACGTTATTACGGGTGGTGGAGGGCAGAAGGGAGAGTAAAAAAAAAAAAACTTAAGTATTATAATTAAAAACTCGCCTGTTTGTGCATTTCCACGTTGAGGCCGTAGGACATCTCGTAGTACTGTAACAAAACAATTATATATTAGTACACGGTCGGGGAGGCGTGTATTGTGTACACACACTCGACGACAATTTTTTTTTATATATAATCAATAAAAAAAAAAAAAAAAAAATGTTTATTATACACAATACGACGGGTCTGTTCGCAAAATACCGTTGAGCCGTTCCAGTTATCGACGATTAAGATAAAATATTCAAAAAAAAAATTGTAAAAATGGTAAATTGGAATCGTTAATCGATATTGTCTCGGTGCGGGGCGTATAACACGAAGACACCTGAAATGACTCTGTTCCATTCGGTATTTTATGTTTTAAGACCGAACATTTAAATTTATAATGACATTTTTTTTATATTAAATCCAAAGCAGCCGTTCAGTGATTACACGTTTTGAAACCGAATGTTCGAGATAAGAAATACTTTAACGACGAACTTCGGAAAATATTGTAGAAAATTAAGAAATCGTAGTGCGGGGTTCCGTGTAATTATCGCCCTGAACTAAAAACAAAGAAAAATACTTATTAACCCGAACGATTTTTTTTGAAAATTATTATAATGTTGTTTCAATGTTAGGACATATAAAGGTTGGACAATACGCACGCCCCAGAGCTGCGGCGTTATTGTTATAATTTTTTTTCCCTGCGTTATTAAAAACCGGTCGCATTCAACTTAACAATATTTTGCGAGCAAACTTTCCGTCGTCGTTCTCCACTACAATTTGTTGATTTTTTTTTTTTGCATATCACCGCGTTTTTTTATTTTTTAATTGTTAATAAAAATAAAAAAATATAATAATAATAATCACGTTAATCGTGCAAAAACAATCGACACAGAGACATGCAAAAGCTGGCTGAAAGCTACGCATACCCGACACACGTAATAATATAATAATAAAAAAATAATAAGCTGCTGGTGTGAACACTGTGCAGGTAAACCTTTACTCACCATCACGTAATGCCTTTGCATTTCCGTTTTTTCTTGGACGATTTTTTCGACTTCCATTTTGGTACTGTTTTTTTTATTTATTTTTTTTTTTTTGATGGCGAGGGACAAACAAAAACAAACCCGAAAAAAAAAAAAAAAAAAAAAAAAAAAACAAACAAAAACATAATAAAATAAAAATTAAATACAATGGGGGCAAAAAAAAGTATATATATTTATACACGTAAGTATATAATATAATAAGAGGTGGACAATAGTGTATATCGTACAGAAAATCACGTTTATCGAATTCGTCGTCCAAAAAATTGGAAACATACTTCTCCAATCAGACGTTCCCCCCCTCTCCCTTTACCCAATCGCTAAATTTAACCCTTGTTTTTTTTTTCTTTCCCCAAAATATTATTAATAGATTTTTAGACTGCACAATAATAGATTAATATAATGATTATTGTTATTATATTATATGAATGTTTATTTTGTTAGTAATTAGGTACGCCTGTATTATTATAATAATATTATTTAGTGTCGGCAGAGTGCATTACGTATACGGCGTTTTAACGATTTTAATCAATCGCTCTATGGATATAAAAAAAAGTGTTTATAATATCAAACGCATTACACATATTATATTATATTAAAAATACATTAAGTGAGCAAAACGCGCTAACCGCAATGATGTTATCACAACGAATATATTATAATTATCATTATGTATAGGCAATAATAATAACAACGATGGCAATGACTATGATGATGATGATGATGATGATGATAATGATAATGATAATGAAAGATGAAAAACCGTGTGTTCCTCGTTAAAAATGATATTATTTTAGAGTATTTCATCTATGTGTATGGTAAGTTGCTTGTGAAGTCACCGCCGGATCGATACAGGTATAAAAGAAATAAAAAATTCGATTTTATGAAACAGAGTATTGACAATATTAAAGGGCTCTATGCGAAAACTAGCCAAGTCCGGAACGACTTTTTGAAAGCTTCGAGTAAAGCGATAAAAATATGCTCTACAATTTGGTGTAACAATAACGTAGCAAGTCTGTCTACCGTAGACATACGGTAAAAAAACAATGATAAAGACTGATAGTTTATCCCCCGTCTTTCTCGTAAACGATTTCAAAAAGTGAACTTGTCGTGTGCTACTCCGCCTCACTGCAAATGATGGTCCGTAACTTTTCTCCCCTAACCACAAAACGGCAAACTTTCAAGTGGAACATCTCGTCGACGGAAATAAAAACATAAACAACGAAACGTATTTAAACTACGACTTCGGAGAAGTAACCAAGAGGTGGCTAAAGAGAGTAGAGTCCCACACGAGCCTAGGTTTCTATGTGAATATTATAATACGATTTGATGACGTGATCATTGATATCTGAAATCCAATAATGCACATTATGTTTTTTTAGCTTCTAAAAAAAAACACGGTTTTAAAATTTCATTTACGATAACCGTATTTAACACTATTTTGGAAAATGAGACTCCGCGGATAGCCAGAGTATAAGTATAAGAGAAGACATTTTATTAATGCAAATTATATAATTCGCCAAGAGGCATGCAGCTGTCAGAGGGGTTTATAAATATTCAGTAACAGAGATGTGCCAAGACGTTTTATACGCAATGCGATAATCTAGATTCGTTTTTGATGAAAACACGTTTGTAAATTTTTTTGTTTGGGGGAGGGAGAGAGTCGAATGTTGGAAATCGCTCGTACCTACGGTGATAAACAACGAAGTGTCGAGCCCGAAACGCTCAATTCAAAATCCAGGCCTACGTCAGTATACAATAATTTGTCTGTTTACGGAATTTTCGATAGAAAAATGTCCCGCGAGAATCGAAAGTCGGAATGGTGCGGCGCGGGGGGGGGGGTTGATGCTCGTCCGAAAAATTCAAGACCGACGAAAAACGATCAGGGGTAATCAAACGAACGTCGTTTCGTTCGTCCGTCGAAATGTCCAAAATTGAATCCGATAATTTCCGAGACGACGACGAGGAACACACGGGGGACCGCGAGGGGGGAGGGGGGGAGGAGAGAAAACAAAAACGAAACGTTAATAAAAAAAAAAAAATAAAAATAAATAAATAACAATAATAAATAGAGACACGCGTACGACGCAGCACGCGCATTGCCGTTAAACTGATTGTCGTCATTACGATGTTTGTTACACGCTAAAAACCGCGTCGGGCGAGAAAACGTTTCGAGGGACTTCACAGGCGTTTAATAATAATAATATTAATAATAATAATAATAATAATAAGGGGATGGTTGTCGTTGTCGTTGTGCCGTTGTTGCTGTTGTTGTTGTCGTTAATGCCGACGGCAATATCAATGGCTCTTAAGCGTATTGCGTACAGCGGTTGTTCATGCTACATAATTAATTGTCCGGGACCTTCACGCTCACTCACCATTACGTAATGCCTTTGTATTTCGATTTTCTCGCTGGCCAATTTTTCGCATTCCATTTTCAGGCTGAAAACCAAACCGTACGTGATACATATACGTGTGTGTGTGTGTGTTTGTGCGTGCGCAACCCGATTATCCGCGCGATAACGTTATCGCCGTGCGCGTACGCATAATAATAATAATATATATATTTTTTTTTTTAATGTTTTTATTGTGACGCGCGCACAATACGCGGCGCGACACGTTTTTATGCCGTCTGTCTGCGATTGTCGCCGACCCGCCGTTCCGACACGGACACACGTTATTGCGATATCGTCGATAATAAAACGTACGCGCCCCGCGTTACAAGGCACCACCCGAACCCCCTCGGAAAAGAAAACGGGGAGGAACTAGATTAATAGCGTCCGAATTATTATTTTTTTTTTTATTCATTTATTTATTTATTTATTTATTTATTTTTTTTTTTAAACGCCTAAACGAGATTTTCGGAGGTCTCACACACCGTCCGGTGCGAACGAACACACACGTCGGTTGAGAGACCGGGGGGATTTTAGTTTATTTAATTTTTTTTTTATTAAGGGACAAACTTTGTTTTTTTTTTTTTTTTACGTGATATATAATTCATATAGTAGGTGTGCCTACTAGGTGTACAGTATATAATACTTACGTGTGGTATTGAGCTTGTAGGAAATTGAACTCTTCCTTGATCCGGTCGCACGATTCACCGATGGTAAACTTGAACGGCTGCCCCGGTTGCGGTGGGCCCTAAGCATGGGAACAGAAAAAAAAAATAAATACGAAATATTATAAATCGGTATATTATTATATATAGGTAGGTGCGTGCGTGTGTAAATATATTGAATTTCATAAGATTGCGTGTATTATTATGGGAGCGCGTATAATATGAGCGGATTGGACTGGGAGGGGAGGGGGGATAATGTAGATAATGAAAAAAAAAATGTGAAAAATCATTCGACACGGAAATTATTACACGTGGGTATACACGGGCGGCAATATTGTGTGTGTGTGTGTGTGCGCAGCAATACACGAGCCTAAACGGTCCAATAACCTCGGCAATGGGTTACTAGTGTTACTACACATATCCGATATATTATGGGCGCATATACGTATATTATAATATATGAATATAATATGTATAATAATAATATATACATATATATATTGTATTTTATTTATTTTTTTTGTTTCTATAACACGTACGTGGAAAGATAAACACTTTTTTTTGGAAGAGGAGGAAGGGGGGGGGGGGGGGGGGGGTGTTTCTGTTACATAAAAGCTGTATTTACGATTTATTGCGAATAATGTGAAACGCGCCACTGTGTACACCGCGTTTTTATTTATTCTTTCTTACTATTATTGTCATTGCCGCTATTATATTGGTATTGGTAAAGGCACCGAAATTGGTCGTATTATTTTACAACGTGCATTATTATGATATTATGTATGACTGTATGTGTTGCGATACGTATTGCAGTATGATATTATTATAACGGGCGATGTATAGGTGCGTATACGCATGGTATGTATACGCGAGAGCGTTGTACGTCGGACGCGCGAAAACCAGAATTACAAACGACAAAAAAAAAAAATAATAATAATAATAATAATAATACACAATATTTTATAACCAAATAACATATTTTTAATATAACAAAATTCGACATTGGTAACAAATAAAATATTACAATATTATTTATTATGTATATATGTATATATATATATATATATTGTACGCGATAAGATACAAATGTCTAAATAACAAGAAACCGGAAGTTTTAAATACCGCCAAATTTTGATTAGACTATCCTAAAACTGAAACAATAACATATTTACGTATTATAATTATAGAATAGTATATATATATATATATAAAAAAAAAAATAACAACACAAAAAACAATACAGACACGTAGACGTGTGTGTACGCGCGCGCGCGTGTGTGTGTGTGTCGAAGACCCGATTACAACAAGTGATAAAAAAATAACAAATCAATATTATGAATGAGCACTTAAAATTATCACAGAACAAATACATAGTTGTACGAGTACGGCAACACAAACGTGGTTAACGAATTACCGCGAGCGCGTGTGTGTGTGTGTGTGTGTGTGTGTGCCGTACAACGTAATGGAAACACCGTAAAACACCGGAGGAGGAGGAGGAGGAGGAGCAGAAGAAACGGCAGGAACGAAGAGTCGCGAATAAACGAGTAGTGGTGGTATAGGTGGTAGAGGACGAATGGTACGGAAAACGGTCGGCGGACACCGTCGGAAAGACGGCGGCGCCTGAAATAATAATACAGGGGCGGATGATGCGAGAATATCGCCGAGAACGAAATCAACGAAATGACTAGGAGGAGAAGTGAGAAACTTTGGGAGAAACGAGTAATCGAAGAACCCGATAACCTTCACCGTGTTCATAAAGTCAATACCGAATGTAGCGAGGAGAATGAGCGTGCCGTCGTCGTTGTCGTCTTCGTCTTCGTCTTGGTCCGGGGATATAATATAATATGGATAGCGTTAATTATTATTATATTATAATGGTACTAGTCGTTTGGGCGGGCCGCCTTAAACGGTGTGCTTGTGGTGGTGTTTCGAGTGGCCGGCGTGGTGGTGACCGTGCTGGGCCTTGCCGTGGTGTTGGTGAGCGTGTTCGGCGCCTCCGTTATGCTCGTGACCGTGACCGAACTTACCGCCGTGGTGGTGCTTGTGGTCGGCGGCACCGTGATGTTGGTGTCCGTGCCCGAACTTGCCGCCGTGAGCGTGTCCGTGTCCGAATTCTCCGCCGTGCGCGTGTTTGTGTTCGGCGCTACCGTGGTGCTTGTGTCCGTGACCGAATTCTCCTCCGTGGTGGTGTCCGTGTCCGAACTTGCCGCCGTGGTGGTGCTTGTGTTCCGCGGATCCGTGGTGTTGATGTCCGTGTCCGAATTTGCCGCCGTGGCTGTGTCCGTGTCCGAAGTCTCCGCCGTGGTGATGCTTGTGTTCGGCGGCACCGTGGTGCTTGTGTCCGTGTCCGAATTCACCGCCGTGAGCGTGTTTGTGGGCTGCGGTACCGTGATGTTCGTGTCCGTGTCCGAATTTGCCGCCGTGAGAGTGTCCGTGTCCGAATTCTCCGCCGTGGTGATGTTTGTGCTCGGCGGCACCGTGATGCTTGTGTCCGTGTCCGAACTCTCCGCCGTGGCTGTGTCCGTGTCCGAAGTCTCCGCCGTGGTGATGTTTGTGTTCGGCGGCACCGTGATGTTCGTGTCCGTGTCCGAATTCACCGCCGTGGGCGTGTTTGTGGGCCGCGGTACCGTGATGGTGGTGCTTGTGTTCGGCGGAACCGTGGTGTTGATGTCCGTGTCCGAATTTACCACCGTGAGAGTGTCCGTGTCCGAATTCTCCGCCGTGGTGATGCTTGTGCTCGGCGCTACCGTGATGCTTGTGCCCGTGTCCGAATTCTCCGCCGTGGTGATGTTTGTGCTCGGCGCTGCCGTGGTGTTGATGTCCGTGTCCGAACTCGCCGCCGTGATGGTGACCGTGGCCGAACTCGCCGCCGTGATGATGGGCGTGGTCGGCGGATCCCTTGTGGTGGTGCTCGTGGTGCGCCTCGCCGTCGTGCTTGTGCGCGTGTTCCACGTCACCGGTGTGGTAATGCGTGTGCTTTATGACTCTGGAAAAATACGGGGAGAAAAAAAAATGATATCGTTATTGTTGCATCGCCGCCGCCGCCTCCGCCGTTGACGAATAACCGCCAACGACGTCGACCGGGCGATTCGATGTGCGTGCCGCGCGCGCGTGCACGACAAATATTAATGCGCCGGGCGACGGAGACCCTTACCCTTCTGCTACTTCATTGTCGCTCAATTTGGCCGCACCGTAAGACGTCAAGCCGATCAAACACGCGATGGTGATCTGGAAAAAAACATTTTAAACGGTGTTTCGTTGTTTTTTTCGGTTTTTTTTTTTTGTTTATTTTCGTTGCACTGATGTGTTTCGTTTCCGGTTATCGGCGCGTGTTTGTGCGTACGAGTAGTAGCGGTGAACGCGTCGGGTGCGGTGCGTTGGCGACACTACCGCCGCGGGCACCGGAAAGTTAACGCGAACGGAAAATCGGCGGGGCGGCAGCGGCAGTAAAAGCGCCCCCCCCCCGAAAAGCCGTAAAAACCTCAAACAAATTATTCGGAAAACATTAAAAAGCTAACTGTACTTATGTTTCATAAAATTTTACGACTCGTTTCGTACGCGTATGTATATATATATATATAATATATGTACATGAATGCGGGAAAACGGCGCTGTTTTTTTTTTCCCCTCCGGTTTTACGATCGCGACGTATAGACCCAGTACTTTACGATCCGTAACGAAGCGCGCCGTCCTTTTTTCCCCGGTTAACCCCGGTGCGTTTTTATGCGGGACCCCGAACTGAGAAGAAACCGGAGAAAGAAAAAAAAAAAGCCGAGCGAAAACTCGCGTTCTCTGTGTGTTTACACGGAACGAATCCGCTGCGGGTCGGTCGTCGGGAATTTATACACGGGGAAACGAGCGAGTTTTACGGGCGTTTTTTTTTTTTTTTTAGTCTAATAAAAATTTATCGGAACTGTAATAAAAAACCGAACGTTTATGAACACTGTGTTTTGTACGACGACGGTATTCGCTTGAAAAGTGCGATTTGACTCGTAAAAAAAATTAGCTTTCAATGTACTCGACGGAGAAAAATGAAATATCGTATTGCGCCGGAAACGAATAGCAAAGTAGAAAAAACGAGTAAAGTGTTGTTGAATAAATAGTAATATTTTCGTTGATAACTGTTGATACGCGAGTTGTAGTGCGGTAGTGAAATTATTATTCGCGAACGAAAACACAATATTATAATAGGCGGGTGGATGCAGATACAGGTTTGGTATCGAAACGGAAAAAAAAAAATACATCACAAAATCGTACTTACCAGAGGAGCTATGGAACCCATGTTGTATCACTGTTGTTTTCGGTCGATATTGGCACGAAAAATTTGTTATTATCGTTGAAATAATATTGTGATTAAACGAAGCGAACTGTGATAGTGTACCGTTACAGCGGCCGACCGGCGTTTATATATGAAACGCAAATGCCTCGCTGGTGGGAAAATGTGCCCGGAAAAGCGGGTAAAACTCCACCACCACCGCCGCGGCCGATCCCACTACCTCCGCCGTTCGCGTGCACAGGTATTCGGGTACCTTTCACGGTAGCGGCGCGGTGTTTCGAAACGCGTCGCGAGCCGCGGCCTCGGACGGCCTCGCGCGGGCGGAAAATCATTTTTCACATACATTTTCCATTTTTTTTTTTTTTTTCTCTATATCTTTCTCTCTCGATTTTTACTCCAACGACGTAAGGTTACGATAATAATGGTCGACCTCCACGGGCGGCGTGTACTACGCGCGCAGCGGTCGTCGGCGCGATTCGTCACAACTCGGGTACGGCACAGAAAAAATTAAAAAAAAAAAAATAATAATAATAAAAAAAAAAATCAGGTAAAACAGACAGTGCGTGTATATCGACGTAGTATACACACACACACACACGCGCGCGCGTATACAACAATAATAATAAACGGTCGGCACAATAGAAAAACGTTGACACGTTCGAAATACACAACGCGTATAGGTATACGCCGCGCAAATAGCCCGTGAAGCGGTTTTCGCAACCCCCTCGACACACGATGACGGCGACGACGGCGGTGACGACCACCGCGACCACGACCGCGGTATACTACGCGGCCAATTAGGCGTACCGCTGCTGCGACAGGTCAGAGACGGGGGTGTACCCTGTAGCTGATATCGGCCGCGTAAAAACCGCGTACCATACGACACCGCGTCGAGACCCCGGTACACACGCACGGTGTTATATTAATTCGTTGTACACGGCTAGCCCGGTTAGCAAAAAAAAAAAAAAAAAAACCCGAATGCAATAAAACGAACATTGCAAGGTCGTCCGCGGGAATTCACTAGGTCGGACACGGAATAATAATAATAATAATGATAAATTTTCAACACTTGCACCAGTCGCGCTTGTTAAATATTATTGTTATTAGGTATTATAATGCGTGTATACCGAACCCCGACGAACGAGCGTATACGTTTCGACTTTAAAACTTCTCCGCACGCCACCGCCGCCGCCGCCGCAAACTTTAATACAAAGCGCAAATATTTAATATACGCGAAATACAAATACCTCACCCGTTCCGCGACGACGACGTGAAAACAATATAAATCGAAAACAATCGCGGTCGAATCAAGTTTTGGATTCTGAGCGACCGGAGGCGTTATCGTGGGACAGCGCATCCGAGCGTCAAAATCATCCCGTCTATCATCGCCCCCGGGCCGTTTTTTTTTTAATTTTTTCACAACTTTGAAATTAAATTCGGGATGTTGAATTTAACTGTTTCCGATTATTAAACCGAAGTATTAATACCACGAACCGTGCAGCTTACAGTTACACCGTAAAAAATTACTTGGTAGGTACACTTTACGCTTAACGTATACATAACATGTAATTATTTCGTCCATTGAAACCGATTAAATGAATTGACTATGCATAGTGAAATGTAAATGGTTACATTAGAGTTAAATGGTTAAATGGTCCGTATAGAATACTTAATGAAACGGCTCTAAAGCCAAGAAGAGTAGATTTGTGATTATAAAATGTATAATTTGCTCGTTATTAACAATCTACCAATTAATTGTCTCGTAATTAAACTGTAAGAAAATATGATATGCTTGTCACCTTTTTATATTTTTTTTAAACCATATATCATCCCTCTTTGAAATAAGTCTTTAGTCAATAAATTCTTAATCACTCCGTTTAAACAATTTTCAACAATTCGTAATATTACAACTTTTTTACGAAAAATCTCGCTACAAACTTTATAGAAACTTTCTCGTATGGGCGTTTTCGGTCAATTGTATTGCGAACGGCGTACCGCCGAGGGACGTCGTTTTTAGATTTTCCTCGAAGTTTTGTGCAAAATAACGTAGAAAACTGACAATTTTTTATTTTTGTATAATAATTTTTCTCGATTTCTTGGTTACCCCGGAAACGAGAGAAGATATTATACTACTTTTTTCATTTATCCTACACGGATATAAATTATAATTATTTTATAATATTTATCCATTCTGATTTCCATCCTATCCAATATCAACAGTATCGGTTTTTTTTTTTTTTTTAAATTTATTTATTTTATTTCAAATCAAAGTTTTCGTTGGCGACCCTAACCGTTCGTGGGTAATACGATATTTGTTCTAAGTTTAATATTTCGTTCGGACGTTTGAATCCGCTCTCTATTACCGTACACGCACACGACGACGACGAAAAGTTTAATATCGTATTTTATTCCGCGCAAATAATTCGAATGTTGAAAATTCCTGAAATATCACGTTCCGTTTCGGTATGTCGCGGGTGTCTACCGTGTGCTATAATAAAGAAAAACGAAAATACATCGCGTCTAACGTACGGATTATTATTACGCGACAATTCCAATTATATCAAAACCGCGTTGAGTAACGACGGGGCGATAGTATAATATCGTATAACGTTATGGAATACGAATTTCAAACGTTGTTGTCAATAATAGTAATATCGTTTTCGGGCGGATAAAAAGACGGCGTGTATATTACAGGGGTACAGGAGGAAACGCGGACGCCGCCGGGAAGTATCTCGAATACTTTGGATATTAAAAAAAAAAAAAATTAAAGCGACCGGGAAGAAAACTTCGGCTACCGACCGGTCGGACAGGGCGACGAAGGATATTCGGCTTTTGTCGTTCGTGGCCCGTACGCCGCTAAAACAAAACAGATAAAAACAGCAGAGTGAACCGATTGTTTTGTGCACCGGGGCATTCCTGTCGTATCAAACGGCGCATCGCTATTTTCTGCACATTCGAAGCATTTTAGATATTAACATTACATAACGATTGATTTTGTATTTTTCGCGAGTCAGGTTTACGTCAAACGAAATAAAAAAAATGTGTTGTTCTGTACGAATCCGCAAGAAAAATACCCATGTTCGTTTCGCATTGCAATCTGTATTTTATAGTAACCCAGCATATTGGTCCATCAAACCGTACACGTTTATATAATAAGTTCTTATTATCGGTTGTATTCATATTGTTTTTTCCTAGAACATTCCGTCGTGTGTATTTCGAGTTACGTAAAGTTAAATAAATACGTTTTCTTTCTCGCCTTTTTTTATTGCAATTGTGGCGCGTATTTCGGTTATTATTATTTTATTTTTTTTTTCCTTTCCTCAATGTTATAAAACCCGAGCACTGATAAAGCTCTAAACCGATTGTACGGTGTTCGTATTATATCGTTAATAATATTATTCTATTATAGAACGCCGTGTAGTATTTTACGCGACAATTATTATTATCGGGCGGCCAAAATAATCGTCCACGGAATATAATTACCGTACGGTAATAATAATTGTTATTAACCCAACCTTTGTGAGATAATTAACGGGAGGAATTTTCGCGATATAACCGTATAAATATCATTACACACGTATTTCAAATACGATTATGTAACGGTAATGACAATTATTGGATTTTAAAATAAACGGGGATCCGTCGACGATTATTTATCATCGTCGAGATTACGCGGCCGCGGGGCATTTTCGATCGGCCAAAAGTCGCGACTGTTCGGTCCGAGAAATCGGACGTTTACGTTAATCCTCCTAACCTGACCGGGACTACTGCAACAACAACAACAGCAACAACGATAATAGTAATAATAACGCGGCACGGAAAATTAAAATAATCGAATATTTCGAACAATTAAAAGTGTATTTCGGCCCGCGCTCGAATACCGTTTAATTAGATTCGGTCGTCGGATAATCGTTGTGAAAATATAATAATAACAACAATAATAATAATATAAAACGGACGACGATTACTGCGGGTTTCGATTATAATATTTAACCGATAATTACAAAATAATAACGTTAATGAAAACGAACGCGACGAGGTTAAAGAACTGCGCGCGGGAGCCGATTAAACGCGCGCAACGGTTCGAAAGAGACGAATAATTCGATTGATTGCGCGGTGTAAACGGCGGCGGCGGCGGGGCGGTCTGGCAGTAATTCGGCCGTTTGTTTAAAACAAAATCGTGTTCACACGGTCGCGATACGGACCGTACAGAACGACGACACATTTTTTTTTTTTTAATTAACGCGTCCAGTATATGGACAATTATACTTCTGTACTCTCGCCCGAACATGTTATCAATATCGCAAATATAATCGTTATTATTATGGCGGCGAGGATTCAATATTAATTGATAGCGGGGTGCAAGCTTTACACGTTTTGTTGTTTCGTGTACCACAAAAAAAAAAAAAAAAAAAAAAAGACTTCGAATACGGATTTTTATGTCGCTTGTTTTTGTTTCGCGTATTATGATTTGTTTTCGAGATTCGGGCCACATTTTCGTCTACTAGCTCCGTAAAAAATATTTTTGTACGTTTCATTTACACGGGGTGTTGGGCCACAAATGTACAACACAAAAGTGTATAATTTTAAATGTATTAAAATACCTAATGTAAAATACAATAAAAAACTAGTCAGATTAATTTTGATAAATCTGATGGTTTTATATCATTTTAATAGTGGACAATTTATTGCCTTAATTAATCACCGGGTCTATCTGCTATAGATATAAAATTTTAGTGGCCCATATACTTTTTTGTGATAAGGTTCACTGTCATACAAAAAGGGCTTAATTTCCGGCGTATCGCTTTTTCACCGTCTAATACTACCAAGGCGTAAGTATATATTTACAATCGTATGAAATTATACCGTCCGGCTAAGATACAATAATTATCGGATATCGACTCGTCCCGGTATTATCGCTCAGACACGAAAATTATCGTGACGGGTACGTGTATACTTAACTCTATTATTAGGGGCTGTATTGTAAGGGGACTTGTCGAAACTGCGAAACGCGAGTACGGCAACAAATGATACGGTTATAATATAGTCGAAGATATATAAAAAAAAAAAAACGGCGAGTAACGATAATAAAATATAGAATAAAAATGATGAAAATAAACCTGACGATTATTTTTTGAAACGCGCGGGTATAAGTGCCGCCGTATAATGTTACACAATGATGTGTAGGTAGTAAAAAAGAAAAAGAAAAAAACACTACTCGTTAAAGTTCCCGTTGAAACCGTAGCTCTTGAATTGTTGTTTAATCTTACGTAAAGTGCAGGCTTATTATCTTTTGATTTCTTTTTAATGTTATTATGTCTTCAAAACGCAATTTTTGTTTGGTTTTTTTTTTTATCCTTCTATTACTTTTATATTGTCTTCGAATTTCTCCAAACAAAATTACTGTACAACGTACAAAAGTTTACATAATTTTTTTTTAAATACTGGAAAACGTATAATACTCTACTCGAAATTACATGGTCTTCGAGGTGTCACACCGATGAATACAACGTCGTCGCCACTACTATACACTCTCGGAGATACAATGTTTACCGTCAAATTGATTAGGTATAGGACGACTATGCAACTCTCAATGGGAATGCCACACAATGCCCAATGCGTACGATTTCAACGGCGTGAAAGAGTCGTCGTAACAATTTCCAAAAGTAAACGTTCGGATTTTCGTTTTCGCGCGTACATACCGGAGGAAAAATGAATGAAGAACGAGCATAGACAAAGAAGAGAAAACGGTGTCCTTTTACAATCCGCGGCGTTTGTACGTACCTACGCTTTTGCATACTATTCTCGTCAGTCAGTCGACCAATTATCTTGCACCGGAACGGCCGAAGATTCTATACACGTGCAAAACAACCGCGTTCCGCGTATTTTGTTCGTTTTTGAATTTCCAGGGGATTTCGTAAGTTTTCGGACGGTGTTTTCAAGCGGCGTTTCCTTTGGTTTTAAGGGCATATATATAGATAGATATGTTTAGTAACGCGCGCGCGTTTATAGGTTTTTAGGACGCATAGAAAAAAAAAATATGAATATACCGCGTTTGACGTCTGATAAAAAGTCAAACGTCGTACCCAAAGTACAATATTGTAGACGTCTATAATACCCATACACGCTATAAGTTTACAAGTTATACGCTATACCATTAGATAACTGCGCCACACTGCCAGTACCTATATATATGTATATACGGATAAAGCGTGTTGCAGAATTGACATGTTGTAACCATGACATGGAAAATAATGACACATATCAGACACCTAACACACGCGTCGTGGTAAAAAGGGGAGTTGTGAAATCGTCGCGGAAAAAAAAAATTGGACGTTTTGATAATCACTGGATAACGAGTATTTTGTCCGGAAAGTGATTAAAAACCGCCTCTCGCGAAACGGCCCGAAAACTAAAAGCGAATTTCTTCGATTTCAAAATCGTTAGTCGGCGCGCGTGTAAATTCTCAGGAATAATAATATATTATTGTTGTGGAAGAGAGAAGGGAAAAAATGGGTTACGTCAACGCGCATTTATTATTAGAACTGTCCGTGCAAATATTACGTGTATAATTTTTGATTTTTACGCGGAAATTTTATAGACAGGAAACGAAATGTCCACGCGATGGCGTAAAGACAAAACGCGGTTTTATCGCCGAATTCGGAAATCGGCGACACGCTTCGAATCCGGGTTGTGGTTAGTGGTTGAGCATGCGCCTACTGGATAAGGGCGCGGCGATAAATTTCATATTTTTGACGAAAATGCCCGCGAGAAGACGCGTTCGATAAACAGATCATCAAGTTTTAATAGCAGCAGCGACGGAGTGAAAATGAAATACGCCTACAACGATATATTGCGCGCATGTAGATTACATGTTGATTTACTTCAAAAAAAAAAAAAAAAAAATCGTATTTTATCCTGCCCGAATTCAAGTCGACATCGGCCTCGATTGCCATTCGAGGCGGTCCAACCTCCCGAAGCCCGCCACATTATCGCAGGTGCTCGCGGTGTCCGGGACGAATACGACGAACGTGTGTCGAAATGTGCTCAGTGCCGTCGAAACCAGGCGGTTAGGTTAGGTTAGGTCGGGTCGGGTCGGTTTGGATACCGAAACCAAACACTGCATTATTTCGTTTCTTCGCGATTCACAATTATTGTTCAAATATGTTATTACCGTTCGAACTCGGGTTTGTTTACGGCTTATCGTGTTTTTTTTTTCTGTCGTAAAAAATAATTCGATTCGTAAGGCCTAAAAGTTTCGAACGCGCAAACTCATTTCGAATAGACGTTTTTGAGCGTGTTAATAACATATTTCATTATTACTCCTTGTGACTCGTTTGTAAACTCCACGCTGTTCTTTCTGTACTTATGTTTCGCGTTTATTTTGTATTCGCATTACATATGTTTTATATATTATTTCTAAAAATTCACCGAAATGTACGTCGATTCGTGTACATTTTACCGGTAAATTTCGGTTATTTCGAATTGACATCAACCCCTTTTTCGCGTACGTGTATTTGGAAAATAAATATGTTTAATAATACATTTTGACGTTTATAAATGCGTATATTTTAATCTGCGGCCCTAGTCCGCACGGAATAAAAGTAAAAGCACGCGTATAGCTTAAAGGAGCAGACTCCGAATAGAGGGAAAAAAAAATAAAAAATAAAAGAAGATTGACCGGCAGCAAGTTTCCCCCCTCGTTTGCGGTTCGCTCGGGATATAGTGCGTGATATTATTTTTATTATTATTTTTTTTTTCCACAAACACGTATACACAATAGTAATAATAGTATACTTTCGTATACATATATTATATTATCGTACGTGTACGACTGCAGGCAATGGGCCGCATGTCTCGCGTAATATTATTGGACACGAGGGTTTTTAAGGCTCATTAAACCGTCGTCGTCGTCGTAAATTTTATTTGTTTTTCGACGACTTTTTATTACAGTTTTCTTGTATTTTTTTTTTTTTTTTATTTTTATTTTTATTATTATGCGTTATAAATCGTGTATGTATGTACGTGTATGTACGTGTACGTGTGTGTGTGTGTGTGTGTGTGTGTGTGTGTGTGTGTGTGTGTGTATGTGTGTGTGCGTGTGTTCGTCCGGGAAGTGCGATATTTACGGTGGTACAACAGTCTCGTACGAGTATATTTTACACTGGTTTTATTTTATTTTATTTTATTTTTTTTTTTTAATGTACCTATGACGTCGTGCGCGCGGGCGGTCGACGGTTACGAAATATCCGAGTTAGTGTCAAAAAAAAAAAAAAAACGATTTTATCACATAATATACGGAATTCGCGGGTCGATCGACGTGTTATACTACAATAATATTATGGGCTTTGTCACACGCGCGAAAACAACCTAACCGTACGTAATGCGCGGATTTACAGAACGCGCCGTGGTATTGTCGAAACGGATTTAAACCCGTCTGATACCGGAGTGAATTGAACTTTGTTATCAAACTCGAAGACAAGAATATATATTTTTAACTGTGCAACGTCGACGGAGATTTTTTTTTTTACCACGGTTGCATTTTCAAAGCGCATTTTTTGAATTGCGATACTTCGCGTATCTCGTTCGAAAATTAAAAATATCGACAAAAAAAAAAAAAAAACCGCCAACGTTTCGCAGCATACAACGAAGTTCGTGTCGTTTCAGTTTAGTAGATCAATTCACCGTGTACACAACGGACAAAACGAAATTTAACATTAAAATCGTCGGGACGACAGCGGAGCGTGCGGATGAATATCATGTACACTTTAAAGTCGTTAAGTCGATCGCGAAATACGATTATTGTAATATACGAGAATCGAAAGCCGTTCCCGGCGCATTTTCCCATCGCTCCGCTAAACGGACATTTTCGTCGTACGTCGTGACCGCCGTTCGTCGTTCTGTACGGACAAACACCGACGGAGGAAAATCGCCGTTTCCGATGCCGGAGGGTATAACCGCGCCGGTAACCGTTGACGATGAGACGCTGCGTTAGACAACAGCACAATGCCCGCGTGCCGGCGCGGATCGGGTGTTTGCACGGGCGACGACGGCCGCGCAGAGTGCGATAATAATATCCGTCGCGCGTCATCCCGGGTACGCGCAGAATCTCCCCGGCGCGGTATACCCACCCACCCAGACGACGGCGAATATTACGACTGCCGCCACCGCCACCGCCACCACCACCGGCGAACGGCCGACGGCGCGCTAATTGCCGCTTAAAACTGCCCCCGGGGCCGCCGCCGCCGCCGCCGAATAACAATCTCGCGGTAGCGGCGGTGGTGGGTAGCCGCGGGGAGACAGTACCGCGGCGACCGCAACAGGCGCGACCGAAACGTTCCCACCGCCGCGAACCCGCTCGCGCGAGGGGCGGGCCACACCTCCTCCGCCGTGACGAAGAAATTTCCCCGTTTTTCCTCGGTTTCGCCGCCGTTAAAACGCGACGCGTATATAATAATGTATATACGCGCGCACGACGCGGCCATTCGTCGCGTTCTAGTCGTCGCATACGTACACTGACCGTCGGCGGTTCGCAGTCACGGAGAACGGAACGCGGCGTCCCGTCATCGTCGCGCGGACATTGCGAACATTATTAACATACGTTACACACGGTACCGACGGCGGCGGCGGCGGCGTTTACGGGTTTTTTTTTTAAATTTTCTTCCAGTTTTCCATACGCCGCCCGTTTTACAGTATTCGACAGTATACGCGACGGTAACAACATCATCGCGACGCCGAAGGAGAACGTCACGCCGCGACAAAAACGTTTGACATAAACACACACAGAGGTATATTTAACATTATCGAGAACGTTATCGTGCCGCCGTCACGCGCAGTTCAACCGCGGGTTCGTTTTCTTTCACATGTCGTTCTATTAACTGTTTTACATCCCAAGTCGCGGGACGCAACTGAACGCGTCGAGAGCGTCGGGCCACTCGAAGGGGACGACGACGACGACGACGATAATATCGTACGCGGGCGGCACCGTCGTCGACAACCCGGCCCCGCGGCCAGAAGGGTTACACGACGACACGAACGACGGGCGGCGTGTATAAATAAACGATACGGCGGCGATTGTGTCGTGTGCGCGAGCGGAGAACGCGGAGCGAACGCCCAAGGGTGCCGCCGCCGCCCGCCGGTGAAGAGCCGCCCGCGAAGAGACCCTTCGCGAGTGATTTCTCCTTTTTCTCTCGCGCACGCCGCCGCGCGTCCTTCTCGCTCTCGCTCTCCGCGTTTTCGAGTGGGCTCTCGAAAACATCGTACCCAGTACACCGCCGCGGCGCGGGGGCGGTGTGCTTTAATCGACTACTAAGTATCGGCTATACGTGTACGTATATACGTATAATATACGTATCGTGCACGCGTGTTATGCGTGTATTACACAATATTCAAACGCAGACACGTACACGTCCGCGAACGCATACTGTACGAGGGCACGATAATATTATAATATCATCGCATTGTGTTGTTGTTCAACAAGAGCCGAGGTTGTGCCCCACACAACGACGGGAACCGGAATAATAATAGCGCGGACGCGATTTATTACGGCGGGAAAAAAGGAACGTTCTCAACGGCCGCCACCACTGTCGACTACTCTCGCCGCCGCCACTACACTGCTGCCGCCTATACCGGTCTAATCCGTAGTTTATTTACGAACCCGGAGGTTTCGCGAGCGCGCGAGATCCGCCGAAAAAAACGACAGACGGGCGTGTCGGACAGGTCCCCCCCTCCCGCCGGTAGAAGTCCTCTCCGTTTTCATTTTTATCGTTAGAAGACGCGGGGCCGATATTTCGTAGCTTCGAGTTCATAACGTGGGCCGGCCCCGCTCGATGCGCTCCGCGCGCGATAATATCGCGTATCGTTACAACGCCGTCGGGGAACGACGCTCGGAAACGACCGATCGACCGATTGAAAATAATAAAACCGACGACTATGTCGGCCGTTTTATTCGCGCGTACGAATCGCGTTTTCTCGCGATTTTATTACGACGACGACGGCGGGGTAATAATATTGACTCGACGTCGCGGGTCCGCAGAAGAAGAGAAAAAAAAGCCGATTTTTTTTTATTTCTTTCCTTTTTGCCCGTACACGGTATTACACGGCGTACAAATACCTAACCGATATTTTGTTTTCAGCGGCGCGGCGCGTGCGTACGCCGCGTACGTACGACGACGACGTTACCGCCCCGGTGGAACCGGTCGGACAAAGAGGAAGCCGGCCGCCGATCGACCGGGAATTTCTCTCTCCGAATACGTACGCCGTATACGATATAATAATAATAATAACAACACGCGTATAATGGGCCCACGGGGAAACCGGGTATTAGACGCGTTCCCCCCCCATTCCGCGTCCCCTCCATTCGTTTTACATTATATTCTTTACCGGCGTACAACACGCGCGTATACCGTAAAGACTATTTGCGAGCGCGCGCGCGCGCGCTCGCACACACAGTAGCCGCTCTGTCCGGGGCCCGAAGGCCGACGACCGGCGGGTCGGCTTTTTTTTTTTTTTCTCCTCTCTATATATGCCTCTCGATAATAATAATTATTATTATTACTATCGGCGGCGGCGATTATTACTCCGAACCGGTTTCGTTGGCAGTTTATGTCTGCGGGCACACCTGTAGAAAAAAAAAAAAATTCCCTCGGTTTTTTTTTTTTTATTTTTTGTCTTCTCCTTTTTAACGGCCGCGTGCCCGCGTGCCGGCTATGCCGATATAGAGAGGGAAAAAACTAGGTACTTTTTATTATTATTATTATTATTTTTTTTTATATCACGTTTTAAAACGCGCCCGTGTAGATTTAGTTGCCTATTACCGCGCGACGTATCTTTCGATATCCGATAGCGTGAAACACGAGTCTGACACACACACACACGCACACCGCTCACACGCATACGCATTATGTATAGTCATTAAAAAAAAAAAAAAAAACCACAGGCCGGTTATGCAAGCCTAAAGGTAAAATCAACTTGTATACCTTGTAATTGTGTAAAGACCGATAGGATAATAACAAGGGGCGTGACTTAATGATACCCTTCGAGTATTAAAAAAAATAAAAAAATAATAATAATTATAATTATAAATATACCTATTATTGTTGTTATTATTATTATTATTATTATTATACGTAGTACGTATAATACGGCCGAATAATCCGGACGTCCTTTCGGGGATTATTATTTTCTCGTCGGGCAGGTGGGATTTTTTTTTTTTTTTTCCAGAGGAGTAAGTACACACTAACTGCTGTTGCTGCGGCTGCGTCGGCAACAAACGACTGCGGGCCCCGGGTATTTTATTATATTATATAATAGGGTGCAAAAGAACAACAACGACGACTCTCTTCGGTTCTTTGAAGACGACTGCTATTATTATACACATACACTCCTATTATATACACACCCCGTCGATTTTTATATTATATTATTTTTTTTTTTTCCAAAGATTTTATACGACCGATTATTCTCTTTCGTTCCCCCATCGCCGGGATGTCCCGCGTAATAATAACGCAATGTATTATATTGTTATATACGCTACACGCCCGTTCCGCACGTTTACGCGACGGGGAAAAAAAGGGCGCCCCTGCAGCAGTCACCGGATTCTATTATATACACACCCCGTCGATTTTTATATTATATTATTTTTTTTTTTTTTTTTGTCCGAACTGTTATCCGCTTTGACGGGGGTGGATTTGAAAAAAAAACACGTTTCGGCCGCGAGACAATTGCTGTATATTTACCGAATTACGAGCACGAATAATAACAATACACGGACGCATCGCCCCGAAAATTCCCGAACAAACTCTACGTTACGTCCATACACTTTTTGTACACGAAAACCGATTTCGGGCCGTTTAGATCCATTATCGGAATGTATTGGGTGACATTTTTTCCTTTTCGATTTTCAGGCCTGTCACGGACACGCGTGGGGAATTCAACGAAAATCGACGAATCCGGTTTGAAACCGTCGAGAAAAAAATAACCGATGCCGTACGTGCGGAGTTCTGGTGCGTTCAAGTCTGGCTACGCGCGGGCCAATACACGATCGAAAAACAAAACCGATCGCGCGAAATCGGCGTAAATGCGAAATCTACCGTGACCGCATGATACGGATACGTGTGTAAAACGCACTGCTGAGAATTCGGCGCCAACGACGTCAACGCGGCCGATCATCCGACGCGATTGGCGGGCGACCAGCCGACGTACGTGTGTGGTCCCCGTCCGGGAGACGCGACATCTATCTCACGTCAACGGATTTCACCGCGGCGGATGGGTTAACGGGACAAAAAAAAAAAAAAATTCCTAACCGTTCGCGTGACGAACACGCCGATGCGTGACGACACCGGCGGCGGCGGGGCAGGTGATGGGTAGCGCGTTACACTCGGCGTACGAGTGTATAATACGGTACGCAGATCGTCGGACGGGGTGGGGGGTCGAGGTGGTAGTGGTGCGGGGGCGTTAAAGACCGCGCGAGGAACCCGCCCGCCCTTGTACGCACATAATGTACACACACACGCGCGCGCGTAACAACAACACGAGCCCGACGCGTATTCTGTAGGTCGGCGTGTGGCGGTGTACGCCGGTGAGCCCACGGCGGGGCGACGAAGCGCAGGGTTCGCGGGGGTTTTTTTTTTTTTTTTTGTTCGCCCGAGTATTATAATAAAAAAAAAGGGGAGGAGGATTTACGATTGATTTATTTCGCCGATGTCGTGTGACCGTACCCGGTTCGCGCGCGATTTGACACGCGAAACGCGGTAAGGGTATCGCGGTCGGGATGACACGACGACGGCAACGCCGCCGAGTTTATTGTACTCTTTTTCCGTTTTTATTTTTTTTTTTTGCCCGCGTTCCGGGACCGTGACCCTCCGGAAAAAAAAAATATAAAAAAAAATAATACACCATCTTTCTTAGGAACCGTCGCCCGTCCGATAAATTACACCGTGAGAAACGGCGCGCTCGTACATAATATTATAATAGGCACGGTATAAGACGGACGCCGCCGTTTACACACCGCGTGGAGCCGGCGGAATGGAACGGTAGGCGGGGAGGAATCATTAATTTCGATAATGAATTTAAGGAGCGGGTGAGAGGGGTGGAAGAGAGAGGAAAAGAAAAACGAGAACGGACGCTACTTTGTCACGGTGTTCGGGACCAATGGATCGAAACGACGACGACGGCGGCGGCGTAGCGGATCCACGGTATAATTACCCGCCGAAAGTCCACGGACCCGTAACCGACGCGCGGAAACAAAACGCGAGTTTTTATCGTCCACGGTGCCGGCGGTGTCGTCGTCGTCATCATCATCATCATCATCATCGTCATCGTCGTCATCATCGCCGACCACGAAAACACAACGACAACAATAACAAAGACATAGCCGGGACGCGCCGTCGAGTACGCCGCGCGCAAACACGTCACTTTGCGTTTGTCATACGACGCGGTCGCGCGCGCCGCGCACGGGATTCGCATCGATGACGCGGGACATGAGGAGCGCGCGCGTTACGGTCTCTCGCCGTGAGAATTCGCGACGACCACGGCGAAACGCGCGCGCCCGTCGTAGCGCTTTCACCGGTCGGTCGGCGGCGTGCGAGAAATTAAAAACAAAACACACGGGCGCGCGAGGAGAACACCGCGGCGACGAGATAATGTGTGCGTTTAACCGCCGCAACCACCGCCGCCGCCGCCGACGTGCGGTTAACCGTCCGGAATGTGCCCGCGCCGTAATGAACACCCGTGGGCGGAGGAGAACTGCTTTTTGTGGGTCATTCGGCATTCCGCCGCCGCCGCGCGCACCGCGTTTCCGCCGCCTCACGCACCCCCGCGGTCGCGTAATAACATTACACCCGGGCGAGAAGAATCCCGGATCCCCGACCCCGTTCCAGTTTTCGCCCCGGACACGATAAAATTACGTGTTATAGCGTCGCGTACACACGACCGTATGGCGACCACGATCGCCGGCGATGACACGGCGTACACGTACGTCGGGCGCGCGTGAATCGCGTTTCCGCAGCGCGCACGACCGCGACGACGTGCCGAATTAATTAACGCGCCCGCCGCCGGATTTGTCGTTAACGAGAAGAGGCCGCGCCCGGGTGTGCGTGCACATTATTATTACAACGAGGGAACACGGGCGTCGATAATGTCTTTACACCGGCTACCGGATCTCGGCGCGAGATTTGCAGCAGGGAGATGGGGAGAGGAGGTAGACGAATGTCGAGTACGTACCGAACGCGAATTTTCCCGTCGTTTCGGGACCGCCGGCCGATCGAAAAAAAATTATAACGGATATCGTTCCCGATTTACTATCGTATCGCGCGGCCAACGTACACACACACACACGCACAACCGTCACGTCGCGCGACTGTCATGACTATAATTAGCGTCGGCGGCGGAACGCGAGAGCAACGACTCGAAACACACTCGGCACGCACGGAGATTATACGCGACGGAGTGAGCGGTGCATACCGCTGCCGCCGTTTAATTCGCCGCCGCAGTCATTATCTCGCCGTCGAGTACCATTTTCAAATTATTTATAACACAACCGAAGAAACGGGGAGGAAAAAAAAAAAAAAAAACATCTCTCGTATTAGGTACGATACACAATACATAATACGACGGCGGCGTGCGGTACGCACACGATAATATTCGAAAATGTCAATTTTTCGTCCGCCCCCCTCCCTCGGCCCGTCGGCCCGCGGTTTTTTTCGGGTATTATTTATTTTATTTTTTTTTTCTTTTTCCCGCCGTCCCATTATTATTACCGACCATTATTCACGAGCGCGCCGCGAAAGCGGAGAACCGAACGACGCGTCATTATTGTTGTACCGCGCGCCGTAACAACCGCCGCCAGCTCCATGAGCGTACCTATAATATTATTATTATATTATACGGACACGTTTTTATTACAAATTCAACGTATGCACCTCCGGGGGGTGCCCATTGTGCGCGCACCGGGATCGCACGGAGAAACCGGTGTGGGGTCCCGAGGGGTTAGCGGGCGGTCCGGTATACCGGGCCCGGGCGGCAGTGATGCCCAAATTTTCGGCCGTCACGACGACGACGGTTAGGAATTTTTTCTTGGAACGAGCGCGGGGGGAGGGAAAAAAAGACACACACACACACACACACACGCACGCGCGCGCGAACGATAAAATTATTTATTAATATGCGTACGTCGTCGTCGTCGTCGTCGTCGTATATAACCGACTACCGAGAATAACGAGCCGGTCGGCGAGAGCTCCCGGCGCGCGCACGCACACACACACACACGGTTGTTATCTAAATAGCCGTGGAAATGTGCCAATAGTTCAAAGGTATACACCGTTGGCGATTCCCGATCGTTATTCGCGCGAACGCAACGATTATTTATAACGGCGGCGCAAAAGATCGCGCGCGTGAACGAACGGGGTTTTTTTTTTTTTTCATTTTTCCCGAACACCGTCGGTAACCTGTACCGTAATTGTAATAAATTGACCGTCCGATAAGCGCGGCGTATGCGCTATTATCGATACCGACAATGCCGGAGACCGTTTCGCCGACAGGTAGTCTCTGCGCGGTACGTGCGCGTCGTAGGCGTTTACGTGCCGTTCGGGAGAAAAACAAACAATGCTTACCGGGTGCCGGGCAGCGGCCGCTACAGCTGCTGCGTTCATTGTGGCTGCGGCGTACATGACGTGTTAGCAGCTCATGGCCGCAAAATCGAATGTCACTCGGTTTAATCGACGGGACGGTGAACGGTGCCGGCGGGTCGAAAACGGTGCTGGGCGCACGCGAGTCGAGGGGGGAAAAAAAAAAATCAAAAACAACCGACGGTAAAAAAAAAAAAAAACGATAATACGACGATATTCGTGTATCACGATCGCGGGAAACGACGACGGTGACGGCCCGAAAGTCCGACGCGATATCTCGCGAAGCACGCCGCACGAGGTATACTACGCACTGCCTGCCGGCGTGTGGCGGACGCCGTCGACCACGAGACGGGACAACAACGATATATATGTATATGTTTAATAAAACAGAGCGCACACGCGAGAACGCGCACAAAAAGCCGGCGGTATTCGGACGGACGGACGGAGAGAGAGTCGTCGTCGTCGTCGCGGTATATTACGAAAAGAAAAAAAAAAATAAAAGAAAATAATAATAATTATAAAATAATGAAAAAAAAATATTTAATAATTATTGCGGGAATCGTGTTCGCGGCGGCGGCGGCGGCGTTTACGTGCGGTACGGCGCGTAAACAACACTGTACGAAGACCAACGGAGCACTGAAGAGGAGCCGTCGACTGTGAGCCGCCGGTGTGTGAACACGGACGCCCCGCCGCCTCATCACCCCGCGCACTCATCGCACGCGCACGCACACAAACACGCTGGCTCACGCACACGGACGCGCGCTATACACACACACACATACGCGCGCACAAGGCTGATGGTTCTCCGCCCCTCCCCGCCGACGGGCGCTGCCAGTAAACAAAACGATCGGGTCGGGACGCGCGGCGGTGCGGTACCGGCGCCGGTGGAGTCGCGGGGCTGTGCGGTGACGGCGACGGGGCGGGGCGCAGGGGTCCAGAAAAAATCGAACCTAAAACCCATGGAAGACGACGTGTACACGATGTGCGTGCGCTTGTGTGCGTGTGTACGTGTGTTTTTGTGTGTGCGTGCGCGTGTGTATACAGAGGGGTCGGGGGGAACATTGAAAAAAGACCTTTTCACAAAATGGCCGCCCACTCTTTACACTAGAGCGAAAACCCTCTTGCTTCTTTTTCCAATAACACAAAAGGTCTCTTCAATTTTATTCTTTTTTTTCGCCGCTCTCCTCTTTCTCTCTCGTTCTCGTACACGTGAGCGCGCACACACACACACACAAACTATCCGACCGTTTCTCGCTCTCTCTCTCTCTCTCATTCTCTTTCTCTCTCCGTCACACCCCTCGCCGTTGTCGCCCGCCCGCCAGGCGGATCAGAAGGGTTTGAAAAGTTCCCCCTCGCCACCGCCGCACGCCTTTCCGGCCGAAACCTCCCCCGTTCCACCGCAGTCGCCGCCGCCGCCGCATCGTCACCGTCACTCCACTGATTTCATCGTTCCCCACCCTCCGCACCGCCACTCGCACGCGCGCAAAGCTCTCCGGTAGTTTGCACAAATATGGCAGCCGCATTCGAGCCATCCCTCCCGCCCCGCCACCCCATCCCTCGGGCCGCCGCCACCGAGTCCAGACCGCATCGGCTGTTTGGTCCCTTCTGATTACCAGTATCGCTCCGCCGGCCCCCGGGCCCCGAGCAAAACCCCAACACGCAAGCGGAGCCCGTACGGTTTTTTTCGCGTTTACCGGCCGCGGCTCCACGTGGAGCACGCCGGCGCGGCGGCCAATGAACGGGCGCCGGGGCGTCGGCCCGCAATGAGCAGCCGACCAGTCGCGGCGCGCCGTCGGCCAACCGGCGCCCGTCTACCGCACCGTTGTCACGTAGCAACCGGCCGGCTCCACGTGGAGCCGGCCGCAAACACGGATCCCGGGGAATATTAAAAATTTAAAAGGAAAAATGTTTTTTTTTCTCTCTCTCTCTCTCTCTCACTCTGTCTCTCTTTCTCTCTTCTCGCTCGCTCGCACGCCTCCGTCGTCTCTCTTTCTCCCGGGCACTGTGACCGAGCCGAGTGTGGCAACGCCGGGGTCGGCGGCACAGCGGTAGTACAGTACTAGTAGTACGAGTACGAGTAGTAGTGTAGTAGTGTAGTAGTGTAGTAGTAGTAGTAGTAGTAGAGAAGGGCAGAAAAAAAAAAAACGAAAAAAAAAACTTTTACCTGGTTTTTTCCGATCGAGCATTTCAACCTTTTTTCTCTCTCTCTCTCTCTCTCTCTCTCTCTCTCTCTCTCTCTCCACTCTCTAACCCTCCGTCCGGGGCAAACACAATTGGATTATCTCCTATCTGCTTTATAATATAATATATACGCGTACGGGACGACACCGCAGCCGGGCCCCGTCGCGCCGAGTGTGACAAACCGTGTTTCGTCGTTTCGAATAATAATATTAATATACGAATTTCAAAAATAATAAAACGTTATAATAATATATTATAATATACATCGTAACGTGCGAGTGTGTGTATATTATTAATACTATAAACGCCACACGCGCACACACATCCACACACACACACACACACAGGCGCACACAAGCGCGCGGCGTGAGTTCCGCCGCCAACGTGTATTTTATTTTTTATTTTTTATTTATTTTTTTACAATATAGACGCGAGAGACCGGGAGAGCTGATACGCGTATAATATTTTTACACGGTCCTCGTTCGATTACACAGAGAGAAAAAAAAAAACTACGACGACGACGACGACGACGTATAATATATTATAATATTATAAATACATAATGTACATATATATATATATATATCTATATATATTATACTGTTGTTTTTTTTTTTTTACTCCTTTTTCGTGCCCTCGGGTTTTATTATTATTATTATTGTTTTTCTGTTTCACCGCCCACCGTGGGCTTATTATGAAATTGATGACAATACTCCCATTTAATAGCTAGGAGCCTTGGACTGTGTTTAATTTTTCGTGTTTTTTTTTTTTTTCCCATTGCTTCACGGTACAACGATAACGTTATTACTTATTATTATCATAATAATAATAATAATAATAATAATATCGTCGGCCCGTCGTCGTCGTGGCGGAACGAGTAACGACTATACGACGACGGCCGCAGCCGCGTGGCCGACTAAAAATCGTACCTACGGTTTTTATTATTTTATTTAGAACGCGTTCCAAACGAATTAAAAAACCGAACGTGTGCCGTGTACGAGCAGTATAACGTGTAGTGTATTATATTATGTGTATACATGCATACCTTTCTAGAATAATACTAATGTTATACTGTGCACGGGTTACGTGTCTCGAAATTGCATAAACTCGTGTACGACTAATAATAATAATATATAATGCGGAATAAGGAAACGAGAGGAGGATTCGGATTACAAGTTTACATTAGGTGTACCTACCTGTATATTATATAGGTACTCGTGTTTGATATCGGAAATTCGTATGCGAAAAAAAATAACGCATAAATCGGTTTGTTATCGATTTTTTTTTTTTCGGATTCCCCCCTCCCTCACTCATAACAGTTCGTTTCGTCGTCGTAGCGAGCGATACGTGCACGGAGTGAGTGTATACGGGGAAAAAAAAAACATAATAATAAATAAAATAATGTCGCGTCGACTCGTTTACACAATGCAAACTCAAACATACTGCGGAATAACGCACACATAATAATCGTAATAATAATAATAATAATAGTATTATGTTATTATTATACCTATATGGTTATCGGCTAAGCAAATACACGACAAAACGGCAAACAATGTGTGGAACCGGCTAATTGTGTGCTTTGTGTCTACGTGTGGGTGTGTGTGTGTGTGTGTGCGTGCGTGAGTACCGCGAGTGGGTCATAAATCCTTTACTATTGACGAGCAAAGGCTAAAAACGGATAACGCAGTAGTGTGTGTGGGCATACGATTTTTTCGTCGCACGATCGTATATAATTATTAAAAAAATGTTATCGTAAATTAGCGTATCGTCGACGGATTTTTCGAGAAAATTATCAATCGTTTCGAATATCGATCGTAGAATCTACATAGTCCGTTACAACACGATGATAACTCGACGACGGAAATATTCAAAAGTCGAATCCGAAAAAACCCGCGATTTCCATTATCAACGAATAGAGTGTGAATCTCGTCCTTTAATTCGAAAAATAATCCTCCTTTTTGTGTTCCTCATTGCTCTATAGCGCCTTAATTGCCAGTGGGCCGGTGTACCATCGAATTTTGATTTTTGTTTCGATTCGCTCGCCGCATTAATGATATTCATCGAATGATTGTACATTAATAGTTTTAAGTAATTTTAAGTATTTATTAATTGCACGAGTAACACTATCTTTATACTCATTACCCCCTCGGGATGTTATTTAAAATAAAATAAATAAATAAACAATTTGGTTGTATTATTGCACGTTTCAATATCAAACACTCGTAATTGTTGTATTCAAAGGACAATGGGGGAGGATGATATGATCCCTGACCTCTCTCCGGCCGCGCACTCCGCGCAGCACAAAGCCCGCCCACGGTGGATGATTCGACTGACATAATATTATGAAAAACCTCCCTGAAAAAATGACCAGAAAATGCGAAATAAAAGTTTTGGTTATCTTTTGGCGTGTCTATAGCAGTTATACAAGTTAATATATTATATGGATGATGTATATATTATTTGACATGTGTTATAATTCTTAAGCTTACGCGCAAAAAAAAAATATGCAAATCGTTTAGAAAACAATAATTTGCACCTATTGCAAGACAATTGGCATACACGGTAATAATAATGGCTATATAATTGGGATAATATACATTTTTGAACAACCTAATTTAACGCTAAAAACGTATACACTAAATTATGGTTCGCAAAAAAAAAAAAAAAAAAAAAAAAGGTTGATGGGTATGCTATTGTTTTACGAGGGAAGTTGAAAGTGAGAAGAATTACAGTTCAATGTACAGTAATTTAATTTATATCTGTACGAAACAACGATGCTAAACCGCCGTCGCTAATGAATAACGATTTAACGAGGGCAGAGTATTATAACAATTTATAGTCGTGTTTTTGCCAAAATAACCCAGAAAAAATTCCCAGTTTTTTCCGTTTTTTTTTTTTTTTATATCAAGTTTATAACTACACGGGGAAAATCAAAACGGAAAACCTGACATCGACTAGACCGAGAGCCATATCCTGTACGAAAATAAAAACGCACCTTACGGTGTAAAATCGATAGTGTCGTACAGAATCTAAAACAGAATACAAAAAAAAAAAAAACGCAAAAAAAATCGCGTGCTTTTCGAGTATATTAATTGCGGCGCGCTATACGAGCGAATATCATTCTCGTACTATACTCGGAACCGCGCGCGTCGTCCTGTATTTGAACATCAACCCTCCCCCACCACCCATTCACACACACACTTACCTCCCCGAAAAATAACACGGCGCTTTGCGACGGAATCCGTGCCTTCCCCGCTCCCACCGCACCCGTCTAATTATAATATCCGCGACGTATGTGTGTGTATGTGTGTGTGCATTACAATAATATACGGTACGCGTACATAATAAATAATAAATTATTGTATTATTACAATAACGGGCGATTGATCGGCGGCGACGGGTAACCGAATAACGGGGTCCGCGGGCACGACGGGCGGACG